AACAATTTAAATAACGAAGTAAAGAGTCTAATAAAAAGTTTATGTGAAAGTCAATCCAATAATACCAATGATATAACTAATATAATTAATAAAAATCAAATAAAAAAGGCAATAAATAAAATAGTTAGCGATCTTGATGATAATGTGTGTATCAATAAAATCATAAAAAGTCAATACGTCTAAACATGAAATCTTATAATATATTAATATGTACCTATAATATGTAATGCTGATGTAAATATTTGTTTCTAAATTTTTTTTATCATATTATGTTTATTTAATTATATCATATTTTTATTGTATAAGTATTTACTTTAAATGAATTGTAATATCGTTGAACTCCTTATACCGGATACGAGCTTATAGCTCAGTTGGTATTCGTATCAGCTATTATTTATTTTAATGTAATTATTTAATTGTAATTGTTTTGGCTGAATAAATAAATTAATAAATTAACTAATATCAATCGGTAAAAATCGAGAGAAAAGAAATTCGGTCATTTACAGCTTGTAAAGTAACTTCCAAGGGATTTCAACATTATTTTGCCATGAGACCCAAAATTGAGGCTCAAAAACCAACGACTGTATGTAATTTATCGGTATTTTTCATCTGATTCGAATTCTACAATGATAAAATTTCATGTTGGTATTTGTAGCAGCTAAAATTTACTAAGATTATCGTTTTATAAAAGCCCAAACCAAAATTATTATTTACAGATCGACTAAATTATATTGTTTATCAAAAAATGTATCAATTTGATTAGTAAAAACTCCGAAATCTGAAATTTACCAGTATTCATACCTTTACTATACTGATACTAGTGTTCCGTATAGGCTGGACTAGACTAGTGTGGATCTTTCTTAAGGCTACGATGTGTCCCAAGCGAGTGTGGCCCAATTCGAAGGTGGTTGATTTTAACACCTAGCCATCGTATTGATTATTTTATACAAGCTATTTAACTATAATATAACAGCCAGTGATTATAAAATCTATTTGGTTTCTGTCTCGATAGTATTCCAATTGTTATATTTTCAGTGCACTCAACGCATGCGTTGGAAAATTTTTAAGTTTTAAGTACCGCTTCATATCTTTTTACACGCAATTTTATCATACAGCTAATACAGCTGATTATAAATTTATAACTTTACTTTATCATACCGTTTTAAAATTTTATTCAACCCACTTTTACACAAAAAATGTGTGTGTTTTTTGAATTAAATCAAAAAATAATCCAAGTAAAAAAAATATAATCCTAGAAATAGAATCTTAAACCTCAATCTAAATGCGAAACTTTAAACCGGATGGATTTATATCCACCCCCTATTTAGAGGGTTTATTTCCAACTTAATCTAGATCAAGTGAATATGTTTTTTTTCATTCCACTTTAGACGTTTTTAATGTTACCGCAATAAAAAATAACAACAAGCGACGGTAGGTACATTACATACCTGGGACTGATTTCTTTTTTATTTTACGTTAGGTACAGCTAAAGCATTACTAATTCGTTTTTTTATTCTGAATTGATATTTTATTACAGCCAGATACAATTATTATTAAATTAACTAATCAACAAAATGCAAAATATGTTTATCTTAACGTGCTTTAATATATAATTAATGCACCTGATGTACCAACAGCTAATCCCTTAGACACCTAACAGACATTTTTTCGCGGCAGCCAATGGCCATAGGTATAGTTGCCACAGCTTTTTCTAAAAATATAATACATTTTAATTAAATGCCAGTTTGACAGTTGGTTTAATGGTCGTATGAACGTCAAGTAGCGGTAATTATATAAATGCTATTCTGGTTTCATTTAATACTCGTTATGCACAGATATCCAGATCTTTTAACCGCATTGAACTTGTAGCGTGCTGAGGGTAATTTTATTATAGTATCGTATTGCTGATACCAGTGGTGGACAGATTTTTTTTTAGAAAAATCGAAGGCTTAGTAATATTACTCTATTTCAAAAAAAAGTCAACACGGCTGAAGTTGAGAACTAATAACGATCGGTAATAACCAGTGGTAAAGATAACACAATGTGACCATCAGCGATCGACCGGTAGATCTTGATCCACACACTGTGTAGGTATTGTCATAACTAGTCAGTACGTTTGTATTTGTATATTATAATATTATGTTATATGAGTGGCTTTTCAATGTGATAATCGTCTATAATATTATAATATTATTATGTTATTTTTATCGGAACACCGCGGAGCATCGGTACTGAAGCGTTGTAGAAAGTCCATTAGAGCATAATAATCATTATGAATTCGTATAATGAAAATGTTTAGTGAAGTTGGCAAAGCGTAACAATTTGGAATACACTGTGAATGACATCTGGCTGATCGAAAATGTCAAACTGATGGAATTTCGAATCGAACTATATTCAATGTGCACATTATCATGTACGGCAATTATAATCTTATTTATAATAATATGTTGTGTATGAGTAATTGTTATTACGTCCGTTGTCGCGATATCTGATAAATGTCCAATTGCAGCACGTTCATGATATCATGTTTTAATATAATAATATAATGTACCTGCGAATTGAACACATTACACGCAGGTATCAATAAATCAGTATAATATATTATGACCTATACACGTATATAGTATTAATAGGGGAAATTAATTATAGATGGCGAGAAAATTCGAAAAGCAGATGTGTGTTGTGGGGCGTGGGTTAAAGCTCGAGCAACGTTCATTCTATGATCATTCGAATTCGAGGGTTTGGAGGGAGGGTGAAAGGGGAAGGAGCTCCTCTAAAATGAATTTTTTTTTTTTTTATAAATATATTTTAAAAGCACCTGTACTAATTATTTTCATTATCACAAAAGGACGGATATACTTTAATTTTTAACAAAATTAAAAATATTTCGTTATTTTTGTAATTTTAATTTTGCGAAATCCTATTGAATATAATTTATAATATACAAATTCAATTTTATGAATTATACCTAATATACACTCTTTATTATTTATAAAAATATAATAATAGGTACGTAACATATTTTGTGCATTGTAATATTATTTTTTGAGGGTTGATGGTAGGAGAGTGAAGGTCAGGGGGCTTCGCTGTCTAGTTCAATAATATTTCAAGTGACATTAATTTTTTTTTAGTACCCTTTCTTTTATTTTTCCCAATAAGAGCACTGCGTGTACGTAAAATATAGAGAGCTCTCAAACATATATTATATTGAATGTTAAATACAATGAGCACTTGATCGTCATCGATGAGGGTCTACCTGCAATGCGATAGCTATTTATCGATCTCTTAGCAATCATCCGATGAAATAATTCGTAGTCCAGGGCATGTACGTATTATAATGATAATTATACGACTATACTAACTTATTATATAGGTTACAGCTGGTTACAGTGATTTAAAATATATGGCACTCTGCGGACTAGATAGTGCTTCATTTTATTTGTAAAGGGGGAGGCAAACGTTCGGTCACTTTTAAGTTTTAATATTGAAAACTGGGACTTAGAATTTAATATTTCCTGGAAATTTGGGGCAATCAATTTCGCATCTTATTAGGTTGGAGACTGCTAATGCAATGTCCAATTACAGACGTCTTTGCTGTAGGGTATTTAAGCCTCCAAGTTGTAAAACTGCCTCAGAGGACTGACCTCTATAATGATGATATGATGACGCAATATTATGATCGATGTCACAATGTACCCTAGCTAGACACAAATATAAATATCGCCAGGTGGACCGCGATACTCGCTGGAGTACTAACGATTTTAGATGTCGACGATTTCCGGCAACTAAACAACAAGGGATGATGACCCACCATCATGACCGACGCGACAAAAATCTAGAACAGTCTATACTCTATTTGCCGAGAGTTCACCCACTCGCTCGACGAAAACTGGTCGAGGCCGCGCAGGCCGGTCCGTCTTTGGAGCGCTAGTGGTGATCGTCGCCAATAGCAGCTGCCTACTTCGACGAACACTGCCGATCGCCGAACACCGCCGACCAATCACAAACCGCCGGTCTCCTACTCGAGGGGGTCTGAATGTTCCCGCTGGGGAGTTGTGCTAGTATATTATAATATATTAAGGAAACTGCATATCGGCCCACAAATAAGCCATCGCCCACACTTTCCACATACACCCCTCACGCAACTGCACTTTACGACCCAGGGCACATAATCTTACATCAAATCCTCCCGGGGGACTTATACCCCTAACGTCTCACAAGTGTTGACCGCTTAACAAATTCGACTTAGGTAAATGCATTTACCCAAAATCGTCCACATAGGTAATATTATTAAGTATGTGTATGTAACAACTCGCTTGTAAAATGTTTCAATCTGCTCAAACATTTTGAAATCCGCAGCAAATCCGTAAAGCGCATAGGTAGTAATAGATTATGGTTAGTTTTTTTTTCTTTTAGAGTTTTCCTGCTCTGAACCACTTACCTCGCTTTCAGTTAATTGTTAACGAGATTAATGTTCACGAACTAAAGTTAAATTTATGTCAATTTTTAACTCGATCCGCTAATTTTAATTTCGTATCGACTTAACTTTAACTTGACTTATTTAATCCTGCTTGAACTCAGATTGTACGTAATATATTGCAATTCAATTATCCCAATCACGTGGTGCAAGTTAATTTTGAATGAAATATTTTTTTTTATTAATTTTACTGTCTTATAATGAACATCCCTATAAATTTATGAAAATTCCTCATTGCTATGAGATAGAAACAATACGATTCATCAAATCATGGAAACATTAGCAGCTAAGACGCTTATACAAACAGTCGAAATTATTATAGTTCCTTTTTACCTAATACCCATGGAGATATTAACATAATATTCGCAAAAGTATTATTATAGTCGTTTGGCGTTTACCTCAATGTTTTAATAATATTATAGACGGCGACTGTTTAAGTTTGTATTTTTATGGTTGTAGGTTATACATTACAGTATATTATCACGAACGACGTTGGTCAATGATGTTAATACAATTAGTAAACATGGTAATTTGATCGATGATCCATCGTGATATCACGGGATCGTAAGTCTTAACTGTGTTATTAATTGGTAAATTTTACCACCATGACTACATTCAAGACTTCAAAACCTTCCACATTATAATATTATAATATTGTATATAAATGAGAAATACCCGAATGACGCATAATGATTAATGATCGCGTGACTGTCGAGTGGCTGAAGACCGAGCGGGCGAATAATAATGAATTCTTTGATTCGGTTGTTGAGCCGCACACTTGATCTACAAAAATCGCACCCATCATCGACATGCAACATATTACACACAGTTATCTTGTACACAATACTTGACATCGTCAAAAGAATAATCATTCAGCTAAAACCTCGCACAATAAAATCGAAGATGGTAATAACGAGTTTCGAAAATAAGTGTCATCAAAACGAACAAAAGACTGATACAACATTCTCGATCATATACCATATTATACCATATGATATACACCATAACCTATATGTACCTCGGTGTGGTACCAGAACTCACTTGTAGGACCACAAATCGTAAATCTTATGTGCAAAACATTTTCAATTGTCAGAGAAGTGACACACACTCCATGATATTTAGTTCAGTTACGATAAGTTGTAATATATTTTTATATTTATTTTTTTTATTGAGTTAATACTTCAACACCTATGGTCATTCGCTTGAAGGTTATTTAATAGGTTTTTGACTGTAGGGGAGGGTACGGTTGGTTAGAACACATGCATATGTGGCAAGGATTTGTCACTTAAACCCGGGAGGTCATCCATTCGGGAACTAGTTTCACCGGCTGATGCTTGACTTCATAACACATTATTTGTTCTAACAACGATGATTTTTAAATAGCCTCCAAACTATATAGTTTAAATTATATAATTTTGAACTAAAATGTGTACGTTACTTATAACTTAATAATATTATTCATATTATTTTGTAGCAAATTTAATTCATAAAAATATATAGGTACCTACATTTTATACAACTGCAGATTGGATAATTTAGACCATACAAATCGTTAAAATCCCATTAAAGAAAAATTATTAACTTGCCTTCAACTATTATTTGAATCAACGTTACTTACTTATTTACTTAATATACAAATATTGGACATAATTTGAATAGTATACTATATTATTTAATACATTTAAGCATATTTGTTCATTTTTGAATGAAAATTCTCGAGTCGTAGCTTATATAACACGTACGTCTCTTTGATCCCCTTTTATTTCACGAGCAGAAATATAAAACAAGATTTAAAAATTTAAAAATTTAAATATTCAATATTCAATTTTTTTTTTTTTTTACAGGTAGAATTCGTCGACATGCATTATGGCAGTGAATTGGATCCAATGAAAAATCCGTTTTTATTCGCAGAACATTTAGATGAAATAAGAAATTGCCGAAAAGTTTCCAGAGGATGTTTCTTTTTGGTATGTACACATAATTTATACTACAGTGAGTTCCGCTTAATGTGATCACTTTGGTGCAGGTCATTTTGATTCTATTAACCGGTTGATTCCAAAAAGCATTTACAACAATGTTCAACAATTTCTTTACGATTTTTTAAAATTTTGTTTAACGTTGGTTGAGGAATTTTCAGAGCTATTGCGGCTTCTCTTTGAGAACATTTATCCAATTTATCGAAACGAACGAGTATATTTTTTTTCTTTTATAGTTAAATCATTTCGTTTGGTCGACATTTCAAAAAATACGTCTGATCATGAACAATAAACCGAATAAACTAAATGAAACAAGTACACGACGCCGCGACATACAAAAATAATTGATTGACATAATGTACAACGATATACAGTAATACTGATAAACTCAAAAATAAAATGGTTTTTATAAATTAATCAGTTTGAGATACCATAAAAACGATAAGATTGTTCATAAAAGTGATTCAATTATCCGGTACTTAGTGATTCTAATAAAAGGTCAATTTAACATTAGTAGCATACAATTTGGTTTGGGATTTTCATTTTTGATTCTAATAAACGGTTGATTCTATAAACCAGTGATCACATTAAGCGGAACTCACTGTATTTAAAAATACGTAGTGAGCAACTTGACTCGTTTCAACATTAATTTTAAAATTGTGTAGGTAAACAAAGTTATCTTTTACATAGTAATGAACTTTAAGACTTGAAGGGCTGATATTTTATTTTACTTAAGTAAAAGTTTACATTTAAGAAATATTTAAATGATCTGTTTGCGCGGTCATGGGCGTTTTTTTAAATATTCTTTAGTCACGTTTAATTGTATTTCTAATTTTTTTTATCCCTCTGTGGTTTTCATAATCCTTAAGTTGGATTTGCATAGAAAATAGTCTCGGGAGTTTGATACCTTTAGAACTCTCAACTTTAGTTACGTGAAATACCTACAAAAAGATTTTGATTCATATAAATCCTGGAACAACAATATTCACAGCAATAACATTGTGTTATAATTTTTTCAAAACCAAAAAAATATTTCCATCTGTACTATTCTAATAAAATAAACGGTGTGGATTTTTTCAACGTCTGCTATGATGATGAAAAAATATTTTAAAAACAGCATAAAAACGATTAATGTCACAAACAAATTTGGCATAACGGCCTAACGACATATATAATATACTTATAATAATAATTATATCCATTCCATTAAATAGTATTTATCGTAAGGGAAATATTATTGTACATCGTATTAAGTTGTAACAAAATTACCATCACATTTTGTTATAACAATACACTAAAATAATATAATACATTAAGTTATTATTGTTGTAAAATGTGTATTAAAATGTAAAATACAAACTGAAATATGTATTTTTTTTTTTATTTTAAGTCATACTACAGTCTATAATAGTAGTACAGACAACATGAGTATACAAAATATTGAGTAAAGAAATCACCCAATAATGACACTTTATTGTTGATTTTTAAATACGTAATAACAAAAGAAAACATAATGTACAAATGGATGAGTTAATAAATGCATTGATGAAAATTCTTCCACTTTAATAATACTTCATATATGAACTGAATACCTATGTAAATGTGGAACTAAACCCGACAAATGTCATATTACATAACAACCAAACACTTAAAAATGTTAATTATATTTTTTTTGTAAAATAAAAATAAAATACTTACTACGCTTTAAAACAATAGTAAATTATTTGTTTGGTTTTCTGCAAAACAATCGATGCCAATATTTTGTTTTTGCAAAAACATTTTAAGTACAATGTATTATATTATTATTATTATTTATTACGCAATATGCATATTTTTTACGAGTATAATACATTAACTTTGTTATTATTATTATTATTGATTACAGATTTCATTACGTAAGTCATAAACTAAACTAATGTATTATTGTATTAAAAAAAAATATATTTAATATATTCAATTAGAATCCATTTCATAATTGCTCATTAACACTGATAAGTTCTAATTTTAATTACTCGCGTACTACCTATTCACTAGTTAAAAAAACTTTTCCGTTTAATAAACCTAGATCAACTTTAACTTCTCAATTTGTAAAATTCATAAGTTTATAGCACGATCTTCTCTACATCGTGGTACATAGCGTTCATCATAACATCCACTTTAAACACTCAAATTAATTAATAATATGGTTATTAATACACTGATAAGTTCTTCTCAACAAATTACTTTAACACAATTATTTTAAACTATTGTTACCGTCACAGATTCTGAAATACCAATAGTATATATATTTATAAGTAGGTAGGTACCAATATCATATTTGATTTAAAAATAAAATACTCAACAAATTATTTTAAAATTCAACCTAGATAATATAGTTTATCAATACACAAAAAGTATCCATTATGTATCTACACTCATTATTTCAAAACGTTTTAACATTTTTGAAAACAAATTATACTTAGGTATATATATATTATAGGTATCATTTTTTAAGTATTTTACTTTTTTGAATGATAATTTAGGAAAGATAACTTTTAATTTTATAATAATCCCAAGCAGAATATTTTTCCTAGTATTTCGATACTTAAAAATCGTATTTCGATTGAGTAGGTAGTCTGCAATTAGTTATAACTTATAAGTAGGTATTTAAAGTTTAGATGAATGAAGTTGAGTGACTGAGTACTCAGAATAGGTATAATATCTAGCAGAATATTAGTCCACTACTTCGCGTCTTCGCTCATCTAAACTTAAAATACTTATAACTATACTAGACTTAGTTATATAAAATTATAAAAAATGGTCTATATTTTCGTGAAAATGATGTAAAATACGACATTATGGAAAATAAAGTTGGCTTCATTGTAATCAGAATGATACAAAATGCGCTTATACATGCAAAATTATAATTTTATCACACTCCCTGCCAGAAAAACATTTATCACAACATCCAAGACATACTTATAAGTTATAACAAATTAACTACTAGTTCGAAATTAAATTTATATGTATCGACTACTCCAAAAAATATTCTGCTTATTGATATGAAATTAAAAATATACCTAAGTATACTGTCATTCAAAAAAGCAACACATAAAAATCCTAACGACTAAAAATTTTCAAAAAAAACGTTGTATTGCAATGAATTGTTTAAAAATAATATTCTTAAGAAGTTCAAACTTTTCGATATATAATGAGTGTAAACACTTAAATTAATCACGTTGTGTAGTACGTTTAAATTATCCATCCATTTACTTATACTAATAATAAATAATTAAAAAGCAAGCAAACTTCTTTAAAAGAAATAGTCATTATATAAATGTTTGATTCAGTTAATGTCCACGCTAATTATTCATTTCACTCGAAAAATATCTTATTTACTTCTTGTGTAATACGTCATTGTAATAAAATATTCGTTGAAAAAAAATACAATTATTAAAATGTTAAAAAGAATGAACTAATATTATATAATGGAATACACTTTTGTATTTTATCAAGGTTTTATTTGTTGGCACATTTATACTTTATATAAAATAAAATAAAATATTGACCAACATTTCTAGATGGTTCATAAACAATAACTATTAGTTTCCTGTTAAAAATTATTAATGCCATTATATTTATATACTATATATAACATAATATAACATCAACAATTAAAACTAGAACACAGTTACGAAAAACTCTCGACAACATAATTTGTAATTTAAATGTGTTTGTATAAACTTTTGTCTCTTTTAGTTTCTGCGAAAGAAATGATTTTACAGATGTGGCACTGTCCACCATTATTTTATCAAGTAAAACAATAATATTTATATACCTAAACAGTATAATATTATAGTAAAAGATAAAAATATTCAAACAAACCATTAATTAATTAATTTTTTTTTTAAAGAAATATTTTTTATTGTTTGTATAATATTATGTAATAAAATATAATAAATAGTAAATAAAACAATAATATTGTAAGAAATATAGGTACTTATAGTTATTCTTAGCAAACAATTGTAATTTGTAAAAGGAATAATAAATATAAATACCTACCTATACACATTATTATTAATGTATTCTATTATTAATGCACTGCTTCTCGTTGTTTGATTCGTCAATTAATTACATTTTAAAAATTAACCTTAAAAAAAATACTCATTCTCTTCCCGACACGGTGACGCCATACGTACCTATGCTAAAAGTTTAAATAGAAAAACTTTTTTATTTATTTATTTTTTTTTGTTTCTTGTTAAGTACAATCAAGTTACCTACTATACATTTTTTTAGACAAACACACACCCACAAGCATACAAATGTTATTAAACGGGTTAGCGATTTTTCATCTGAAACTCGGCGTTGTTTGCTTTTTTAAGTGTTTGGTGGGCGACGAACACCAACCGTGTCCCGCGCCGGTGCTCATAGCGGAGGACGCTTACGAACAACTGAAAGACGCAGCGCAGGAGCTGAACTTGGAGTGGTCGGCCGTGGAGGGCGCTTATCAGCTAGACCCGTTGAACAACCACTACACTCTGCCGAAACCGTGAGTACCCACCTCTAAAGATACCTAGGTACCGTCTTTCGGTCGTTGTGCCGTCCACATTTATATTATTTTCACTCTCGCGGCGAAATCAATATCGAACCGCAACGGACAGCAAGACATTCTGACCCGATAGACAGTCCACGCTCGCCACTATAAAACCGAGCGGCGAAATCCTAGGCCTGGGCACAAATACCCTTATAAATTATTAACGCGACACCGACGTCCACAGTGCAATCGATAATATATATACATGTATATATTATATAGGCCTGTAATAGAAACCGTCCACGCTTGTCGCTAAAATCGAGCGGCAAAATCCTAGGCCTGGGCACAAATACCAGTGCACGTTATTATTATTATTGCGACACCGACGAGCCCGGATTAAAATAATTTTGAGCTATTAATAATATATCCATTGACCATTATCCATATTTAATTATGGGAAACGTACTACTCGCCAAGGGCCCACTATATTGTTCGGTATCCGTTGTGGGGTTCTGGGCCATGGTCCCCCCTGTCACCCCTCAATTCGGGCTTGAACGCCGACATCGACAGTGCAATCGATAGAAATATAGAGCTGTAATAGAATATTTCTCAACTCACTATACATGACCTCTCCCACCAGAAATAATCGCAATTATTATGTTTCTCTATGGATTTTACTACAGGAATCAATGTGTTCGAAATCTGAAATGCTCGACAGTTTTTATCGTTATACTATACACGTCTTTTAATGTGTCGGAGCACGGAGAGTAGAATAGTTGTGACGTCTGAAATCAAATGTAGTTGGTCACCAATATAAAATAGATTGTCTTTATTGTGGGCGATAAACCAGAACGCCGAATCAGCTGATGGCATTTTCAGACCAACCTCGGGAATAGGCTCATTGGCATGAATGGGAAAATATTTTGAATATTTATATACGCGTAATATTTCTTCTATTGTTCAATAATTATTTACCAACGAATCCGAAATCGCGTCAGGAAACTGCGAGTATATTGTTATCGTGTATAGAAAATGAGAATATAAACAATCAGTGAAAATTTGATGAATATATGGTCATTTTTTTTTAGAATTACACCAAAAACCAAAATCGATTTAGTCAACCCACCCCCCCCCCCCAGGTACCAACTACATTCACTTTCCTATCAGTAAAGGTACTGTTGAAGAAAATCTAAAAAATTTTACTGTCCTAAAAGGTGATGACAAACACAAATTTAAAAAATGTTTATAAAAAAAAAACGGGTATGTGGAAGTCGCTTTGCAGTACAGTAGGTTACAAGTGAGTCAATGAATAATGGATTGCATTAAACTTGAATTCAATGATATAATATCATTGTATAAAAAAAACGATTCTGAGCGGAGACGATTTGTCAGTCTGGATTTTTTATATTGTTATTATTTATTATAGCCTGTAAGTTTATTTAATATTATAATATTATTATTTTGTATTCGTTGCTATGGTGATGAATCAAGCGTTAGAAATTAAAATCCCATTTTTAGCGGTTTTTCGTAAATTGTCGGTAGTTTTTCCCGTATGGCATTAAATAACTATTGAAAAAATCAAAAAATGACCTCTTTAAAGTACCATCTTGATCCAATTTTCTAAAAGATAAGGTACTATATAATATGGAAATCGAAGCACTCCTTCTGGTAAAAATTTCGGTGCGCCGTAACTCCGCATGCATCGTGGCTATTTTGAAATGGTTCGTTTTTTCGACCGTGCGGAGATACGGTGCGTTCGTGTTTTCGACCGTGCGGAGATACGGTGCATGCAGAATTACGGATTCACAAAATATTTTTATTCATGCGGAGCTACGGTGCGTCCAAAAATTTTGTATACAGGATAAAAAAAAAAACCTCATTGTAAAATCAACACATTCATCGCTCAGCTCAGAATCTAAAACGTAAGTGTAGGTATACCAATAAAATATTTATTTTTTTTATGTATGTTTATATGCAGGCCACATATAAAATTAACTATTCAAAATATTTGGCACTGTTATATACTTGGAATTTTACAAATCAGATATAAAGTATAGCTCACATAAAAACAAATTATTATTATATGACTAAAGAATGTGTTGGTTTTATTACATTACATATCCATAATTTAGGTTAACATTTTGTGACGAACTTATTTTTAATGTTGGTTAAGAATTATGATGACTGTTAGTTGTTTTGACCTATTTTTCTTGGTCCCTTGAACGTCATTATAAACGATTTATACTGTAAGTTAATACATCACTTTAGTTTTATTATGTTTTTAACTGAAATATTTCAAAATCATTTATTTTGTGGAGCGTCCAAAAACTATTACCACCGTCTACCAACACTAAATGAAACAACAATAATATTTTATAGCTTCTGGTCTATTGTTTTTGATTATCTTATTGATTCGATAAAAACAACAAATTCAACTCGAAAAATTGTATTGTTTATAATATAAAAGGAAATAGTTCTTACTAATTTAAAATTTCTTGAAACAGTTTTTATATTTTTCGAATCAACAACAATAATTGTTACCAGAAAAAAACTAATTGATTTCAACTTAATTCTATAATATTATATTGTGTTTATATAAGAATTCAAGAAATTTGAAAAAAATTAACTAGGTACATACTAAAAACAAATTCCTGAAAATAATATAACAACGATTATTCTAATATTGCCAAAACCCCCAACAATAATGTTCAGGATTTTTATTCCATCCAGTATATTATGAGTTTATTGATTAAACATAGACGGATAATATTTTTTATGTGAAATTCCAAAACAAATCACAAAATTAAAGTAAAAGGTTAAACCCTCCTAATTAAATGATATTTTTATATTTGTTTAAAATTAAATTGTGTTGATATATTTTTTCATATAATCTACCCATTCTGCTATGCTGTCACTCAAAAGTAATTGTTTGCTTTATATTATGAAGGGAAAATATTTTGAACATGTTTATTTCATTAATTTTTTAACACGTAGCTGAAATAAATTATTTACAAACATAAATACATATCAAAACAATATTTTCATAACACTATGTTATAATTTATTTATTGATTTTTATTTTTGAATTATAACCACTCACATATAACCAAAACTAACCATTAAAGCTGAAATCATATTAGTATTACTATGATGTAGGTGCAGGTATGTGTGCTACCTATAATATATTAACCTTGTTTGTCATGTAATAATTATACAGAAAATTAAAAAATATGCATACAAATTAAAAAATAATAAATAAATTAAAAAATAAATATATATTAATATTTTAATAGCTATACCACGGGGTAAATAATAATATGATAATATGTACAATGTTCCATCATCAACAATACCCTGCAGTCAATACGTTATGAAAATATCAAACAAATTAACGTAACGTGTAACGAGTATAATGTAATATTATGTAGGTATCAGTTTATTAAAAGTGTGTACATTGTAAAGACCTTAATAATATTCTATTCTTTTTGCTATTTTTATTACAAGCTTACTTAATTATTCATATAATTTACCGGCAATAAACTTTTTTTTTCTAATGATTAAAATCTTAGTCAGGTATATTGTTTATTTCATCCCTAAATGTTTTAACCTGATTAGTTCTGTCTGTAGTTTGGCTAATGTAAAATCCATCGAATAATTATTCTCAGTTCAACGGTTCAAATTTATTGTTGAGTCTTTTTTCCACTCCAATTAAGTACTCAACTAATTTCTAGGGCACAACGGTGGATTAAAGTATTTCTGTGTTTTTTGGAGGAGGGAGGTACCCAACTGTGTTTATTTTGCAATTAGACAACATTCGACTGTCGAGCAGGATTGTGTAGATGTAATCCAAAGACAAATATATTACGCCAGAGTTTACTGTAAGGGACTGAAAGGGGTAGGAGTGAGGGTGGTCTCCCATCATCTGCCGTCACCGGTTTTAATCCGTTAGATAAAGTCACTTTCCCGTAAGTCCATCACGGTTTTTTTCACCATTTCTTAATTTTAAAAGTCCGTCATATTTATAAAACTACTCCCCTGCTAGACTGCTGCAAGCGAGAATTACAAGCAGTGAGATAGATTCTATGTTCAAAAGACATAAATCAAATCCTTGGCCCATCATAAACCGGCCAAACCTATAGTCTCGCAGTCCCATCGGCCGTCACCTCATATTGTAACACCCAACAGAACGAATGACTTATCGCGGTAATAGGGTTTTGACAGGATCCTGGTATAATGTGAAAAATGAAAAGAATCAGAGCAGGTGTCTTTACACGGTTTTTCAACGCAAAGGTACCATCCATAGTGGTTATCTATAATGACAAAAAAATGAATATGTTTTTTTTAACAAGCCAATTCTGTCGGATTAAAATATATGTATTGGTGTGATCGTTTTTTACACAAAACTGGACATTCAGTTCATGCAATTAATACTACTGCGCGTCTATAGAATTGTTTTTTTTTACCTACTATCAATTAAACAATACAAAAAATACTTCAAATAATGATTCATTATCCGTTTATATAAAATATATGCATTTAATAGATTAAATTTATGATCCATGAAATGTTTAAATAAAGACATAAATTTCAACAAGTCAATAACGCACTAGTATATATCAAATTGATGTATTGAAAGGTAGATTATTCAGTCAACATAAAGTTTGAATTTTTTTTTCATATATATTTTTGTATTTAATCTATGTGGGCAATGGAAGGAATCATAAAGCTTACTACTGAATGAGTCGAAACAAGTACCTGTGAAGAATGATATTATGATGATTGATGACCAATACCATGCATAGACAGACTTCAAGTATATTTTTATAGTAAAATAAAATTCAATGAGTGACCGAGACAGACCATTAACGAATAATGTATAAGGATCGTAAAAATGCAATATCAACTTGCATCTATTGATAATAGATTTTAATTATCCTATCAGAAAAATTCACAATACTGAAACATTTATACCAACATATTATAATAAACCTATTATTATTCTATCATTCCACCATGAAGAAGATAAAATGTTTACTAAATTAAATTAAATAAAAAATATTTCAAGAATATCAAAGATTTTTACATTATAATATTATGATGCTATAATTATCGTTACATTTTACTCACCATATGCGTTTTTATACTTATTTTAATATAATATAAGAACAGACAAAATAAAAACGAAATACTTCAATATAGCATTACATGTGTTAGTACCTATAATGTTTGAATACAAAGTATATTATAATAGAATTGAAAATAAAAAAAATATATAAAATCGGAGATGTTTTATTTAATAATAATACAAAATACAGTTATAATAAATGATTACCATTATGTTTATACGACACCGTGTCACCGTTAACAATATTTCTTCTCTTTATATAATATAATATTCAAATAGCAAAATCAAACAACATAAATTATATAGTACACATATTCAGAAAATAATATATCCCTTTAGAGTATATTGAATAAAGTTTTTATAAAATAAATTCTTATATAATATATTATATGTTGATAGTTATTTTTAAAAATATAATCAGATAGGTATGAATAAAGTATAATTTGTCCTTTCGTTGCAAATAAGTATTTTTATTTTAATATGACGTATATTACTTCCATGTGAACATTATTAAAAAAACTCAGACAGTATAATACTAGAAATCAGTGATACGCAAGATAATATTTCGAATTCGTAAAAAGACGAAAAAATATTGGAAATTGAATTAGGATTTTATACATAATATATATTTAATAAAAGCAAATAAAATCAATATTGATAAAGTATTAACTAACATTATTGATAACGGAATATTGATACAGAATATCCAAAGGTAACCAATCTTAGGATCGCACTAGAACCAAACTGGGTAGCTATAGGACACTACGATCATATCGCAGCTAGCACATAAGACTCGATTTTAATAAAAGTAAGACATTGTTATTGTCGTTAAATTATTTTATAGGTAAAATTGATAACTGACAAAATAATGAATGCAACTGTTATACAGACTTAAACGATTCAATATTTATGGAAGCATATTATGTATAGAATAATTACTATAGAATAAAACGGCCGGGGCATGAGATATTATGTATTTATATACCTATATTAGATTATATGTATTATATATTAGATCGCAAGATCGCTAACTCAAAGAAGAACGGTTGAGATCAGTCCTTTTCTTATTTTAATGCATTAACAAAAAAAGTTTTCAGGAATAACTTATACGTAGTTTATAAACAATATATAGTTAAGCACATATAAACTATAATATAATATTTAGGTAAAATTAATTATTCGACAATGATAAATATTATGATAATATTATCAGAAATAAAACAAGTAAATTATAAATAAACTTACAATTAATTGGTTAGTGACACAGATAACATGTAACAGATTTCAGTAGGTAGTATTTTATAATAGGTAGTACACCAGGCAAGTACTGAATTCATATTTTGAATTCATTGTGCTTATTACAACTATATACCTGGATAAAACAAAACACAAAATAATTTTAACTAAAAAAATATATTTTGATCTTTACTACTTTACTACCTACTTGTAAATAAAATTGTTTTAACATTTATTTAAATTTTATTTAGTGATGACAAGGATCAAGAACAATTGCGTCTTTGGTTTGAAAAGAATGAAAAAGCTTTAGTAGTAATGCAAGAAGCGTCGCAAGAACTATTAAGCAGAGGTTTGATTGTTGATCCTCAAATATTTCATTCAGCTGTTCAACATCAAACTTTACACGCTCTAGGTTAATTATATTAACAAGTCATATTTATGAAAATAATAATAGTCGTGATAAACATTTTTCTTTAGACTTAGATAAAGATCATATGGTCGTGTTCAGTAGAGAATTCACTGGACGACACAATTATGAAAGTGGTATTGACGAGACGGTTTCATCATTCAAACATTTCTTAAAGGACACTGTATCATCAGATAATCTAATTGAATTAAGGTAAGTGCTCATAATTTTCCTGTGTACATTTGAATAGACAAAAACAAATTATTACGATTACAGTGTGGAATGGAAACCTGGGGGTATCGACGGTGAACATCCCGAGCATGACATGTATTTGACCATATTCCAAGAAGCAGTCATGTCAAAAATGCAAAGTATGATAAACACAAGCATTGAACAGAAACCTGAGTTGAATGCCAGGAACAAAACTATACAGGAAGTGCTCAAGGAAGCGATTGTGCACATAGTTCACTGCAAAGATATGATTAAGCTAAATCCTCGGAATCCTCGTTTGGACGCAGTCGCCAAAATACGAAAAATGATGTCCACGACCACTAAACACGGCCCAATCATCATACGCGGAGGTCTGGGCTCCGGAAAAACATCTATAATAACCACAATCTATCAAGAATGTGAAAAATGGTTCGATAAGAAACCAGTGAGAATAGTGAGGTTTTCAGGTGTGACACCAAGAGCTTCGTACAACCTGGAACTATTGAGAATCATATGCGAGCAGCTAACTTGTATACTTCAACCCACCGGGCTTTGCGTACCTTTAGATGCTTCATTTGACCCGCTGTACATCAGCGATTGGTTTCAGACTCTGTTAAAGCGATTCGAAGACGAATGCAGATCGTCAACGTTGGTTTTGTTCATCGATGATTTGCATAGGCTAAACCCTTTGGACTCAGATGTCGTTGCGGGTCTGTCCTGGTTACCTACAGTACTGCCATTCAACGTACATATCGTATGCACGACCTTGAACATTCCTGATGAATTGAAAATGACCCCAATGCAAAAAGACCGTTTTAGAAATTCTGAATTTTATGTGGAACTACCAGATGCCAATATAGGTAAGGTGGATTAAAAATAAAAACAAATGTTGTAACATAAAGACTGTAATATCGCTTTTCTAAAAATACATTAACTCCTGTTTTGTTTGATTAATTTACAGTTAATAATTGCATAGTTATTTGATTTATTAGAAATGTTTTGTATTTTTTTAAATTAAATATAAATGCATGATTTAACGATACCTTATCGTGAACATTTCAACCACCTATGTTTTTAATTCCTGCAAAAAGAAAAGGGTTCAAAAAAAAATTATATTCGAGCATTAATATATGATAGATCTTACCAAACATTTTAGGAATTCATCTCACTTCGACCACATCAACACACAATAATAGTGGGGTTTTCATTTGAATGCACTGTTATCACATTCAAAAAATGATTTTAAATAGAGTTCATTTAAACCATAGTTTTTTTACAAAATATATTAATATTATTACTATATTATCTTATATTATTCAGATTTCCCTATTGTTAGGAAAATATCTGGTAAATACAATTAAAATTAATCTATAAATTATAGTATAATAGGTATTTCACAAAAATGGATAGAAATAATTTATGGATAACCTTATAAAAACTGTTCTTTTTTCAAAAATAATAATTAAGTCCCATATAATATCATAATATACTCCGGTTTAAGTGTGAAACACAATATCGGGCATATGCGCACCTTGGCTGCAGCAACAATCGTGAATAGCACTTTCCCCGTACTTATAATGTGTTTTCAGTACTTTACATTAAGACGCAGTATGATTAACACACAATACACCAAATCGCGTAAACCATTAAAAATCACAAATTTAAGGGATATAACAGATAAAGAATTCCACTCATTTCAATTCCATCCATAGTTAAACACCCTTCAAAGTTTTAATTTTTCTATAACTCAAAAAACTAAAAAGTATAAAAAAAATTACCAAAAGAATATTATCAATATCGATTTTTTTCAGCTAATTAGCCATACATTTCAAGTAAGCATTTTTTTTTTTTTTAGTTACAATCAAGACAAATATTAACAATATGTTAGACAACTACGAACAAGCGTATGGTTTAAAAGCTGTTACTAGATTAGCTTCGTACATATCGGTATCCGAATTTGGTTTAACAGAAACCGAACTTCTTGAGTTACTTATGCCAACAACTGGTGATTTTGGAACTCCTTTGAAGTTAGAAGATGGGAATTTTAATTTTTCTACATTTTGTACTGCTAAAAAAACTATAAGTGAGAATAAAAATGTTTAGTTTATATTTTAAAAAAATTTAATATTATCAAATATCTATGAAATTTATTTCACATATGTATTTATAGTGCCTCTTTTATACGAAAAGTTCATGAGCGGCCGCATATTATTATGTTGGAGACATAAAATTACATTTGATGTAGTTAGTCAAAGGTATCTCACATCAAAGATACATAAAAGAACGTTGCATATGGAAATAGGTAACTTGTTTTTCAGTGAATTTTCCAAAGATGAATCGGAATCCAAAACTGATGGTTGTAAGTATACTCTAATTATTATAGTCGTTTAACTTGATACTACATTTGGTATTATATAATAAATTATTTATTCAAAAACTTTTGCTTACTGAAACGGTGAACGCTATGATAATGTGCCACCGTTTGTTAAAAGTATGAACACGATGGTTTTAAACTGCATAAAAATTGTTTCTTTATTTCTATAAAAGTTATTCTGTGTTACATACAATTGGGGAAGGTGACATTTCGTCGGACCTCGCCTATCTTGGAGGTCGGCTGACATGACCTCCGTAAATATTATTACATTATAAAAGGATTATGTCACAAATATTTTAATACAATAATGGAAGGAACAGGTAGGTGCGTTGAGTTAGGCCCGGTCAAATAAGTTGCGTCTAATCGCAACCTCCGTTCGGGTATAGCGTGGCCTAATCGTTTTTGAAAAATAAAATTCAGGATGATTCTCCGCTAAATCTTCCCAGTACAAATACTACTGCCGTACCGACTAGTAAACATATCGATTATTCGGTTGTACCCTGTGTTTATTATCGGGACGGATTTAGCGGTATCTCGGTCATTCTTTGGTTTAAGGCCCAGGGTAGGGTACTGTTGTCTTCATCATGACCTCCCCTATCCATGGCTATACTTACCGTGTTCGTTTGATATAAGGGGAGACTTGAAAGTCCTCCCTAAGCCCATAATACAGTGTGTTGCGTTCATACATTGCTGTGATTGGTTGTCATATGCTACGGGTTGTTGGCTTTATTAAGGACTTTCCCGTTACAGTACCCCTATCGAGTATTGTAATGAATATACTTATTATTACAGCGGTAAGTAAAGATGGAGAAACTGTTATACACAATGACATGACGTACAGTTTGAGACACGTCGAGGAATCATGGATTCATCTGCTCAAAGCTGGTAAATCAATACGATATAATACTCTGATTTTGTACCATAATTATTGAAATTAAAATAATTCACACGAAAATGCATAGGTGACCACATAAGACTAAAAGAGCTGACGTTGTGCAATTTCGACTTTTTACTGGCGGCGGTACGAACTATATCCGTCAGTTACCTTCGGTCTATCCTAGAGCACGCGCGATGTTATGTATTGGACAGGGATGTCGAATTGGTTTACTACACAGTGAGAAAATCAAGTGACGTACTCACGAGGGATACTTTGCAACTTGGGGCACAAATCATAAGTTGGCTACGCCCCGTGGCAGGTAAGCGAATACGTGCATTTTAAATCAAACCAAAATATACTATAGATAATAACCACACTTCATACCGACTTTATAGACAGTAGCAAACTAATGCACAGAATCATAAGATGTTCGGTATCGTGGTGCGATGGTTTCACAGATCCATTATTGGTGCCACACACAAGTTGGCTACAACCACCTTTGCCTCTTCACATCAAATGTAATATTATAACATAGATACGAAATTTAAAAAAATAACTCGTACACTCCTCTTGATATTAATATCGATGTGGTTTATTATTTAGGCGTCAACTGCGGTATACCAATCCGTCATATAGCTCCTACGCCTTCAGCGCAGCACGTGGTTGTCATACCCAAAGAAGGTGACGCCCAACTTTGGCACACAATGGGAAACGCGAGAGTGCAGACGTTCAAAGGACATCAGAAACCCATCAAGTGTTTGAACGTGAACAAAAACCCTCAGTTATTAGTCACTGGTTCTGAAGACCGTAGCGTTCTAGTCTGGGATCTAAACACATACGCTTTATTAGCGAAATACAAGTAAGCTATTGGCTTCCGTAAACTTGCCAGAAAAAAGTCAATGGTTCGCTTTGAAAACCATCCAACACTTGGTCCCAACCTTTTTTGGAATTGTGTTCATTTGACAAAAGCATTTTTTCAATACAGTTTTTTTTATCCATTTTACAAAGTTCCAACAAATGAACTTCAAATATATTGGATGGTTTCAAAAGACAAAATTTAATAACTGTTAACGTTTCTCTGGATGTTTATGGACAGGAACTATTCGTTTTGTAGTAACCTAACTTATGCTTTTGACTACCTAACTTATTTACTTATGCACATGCAATAATGTGGAAGTAATCTTTTGATTGTATTTATTTTTGTTTACAGTGACCTAGAATCTCTTGTGTTAAGCCTTTGCGTGGCGACAATCAACGACGGCGGCAACAAAGAACTTGGAGTGGTTTTGGGTTGCGAAAATAGTAAAATACTTCTGTACACGTTAAAAGGGAAAATGGTAAGAAAAATTGACTACCATAAAGGACCCGTAACGGCAGTTCAACTGACATCTCAAGACGTTCTCGTTACTGGTACGTATACACAACACGACGTATAGGTTAGATTAGAAATTATGATAATAACTTTTTCAGTTCTCTGTTTTTGAGAATATTTAGTAATTGCTTTTTATTTCTTTTATCTAAATAAATTTAGTAAATTCACTAAAGACATTACATTTAAAGTTTTTTTTTATACATTTTTCTAGAAATAAATTTGACTTTTGAAGGATCTTAGTTAACGTGAAAAGTACAAAAATAGTACACGGGTTTGATATAGTTAAACCCCGTAGGTTTGCTCCTACCTCTATGTATAATGGATGTTTGTAATATATATTTAATGTTTAAACACCCCGCAAACCAAAACAAAATTCGCTTTCCTCGGAGACCATAATTTCGATGGCACACGTCTAACCGTAACGGCGCGTTCGTAGGTTCGTCGGACTGCACAGTGTGCCTCTGGGAAATGGACACGCTCGACCTGCTCAACACCATCGCTCTGCCCGGACCCGTGGAAATGTTGGACATATCTGTCGACTCGATGTTCCTGTTGGTGCTATGCGAAGGAAACCAATTGTGGCTACACGCACTGGCGACAGGCACTCTCATACACAAATTGAAAGGATACTGTTCCAAAGTCATGTCAATCGCGTTGGCTGAGGACTGTCAGCGGGCAGTGGTAGCCGGAGTTGACTCCAGGGTGTATATCTATGACATACACTCGGGAGATTTGGACCTTGTTCCAATATCTACAGCACCGCACCACAAAGAAGTGATCGCTGTGAAAATAACCCACAACGACGACTTCCTTGTCACGGCGGGTGAGCAACAATATTGAGTGTGTGTGTTTCGGGTTTTTGGATGGTGGGTGGGGGAAGTGTTTTGATTTCTCGTCGTTCACGTCATGTCGTTATTATCAGGCAACGGCAAGATCGCTTACTGGAATTTCCGGAAAATGGGAAGCGCACACACGATCAACAAACAATCTTCGCCGTTGTCCCGAAAGCCACACACCAGCGCCATCACTTGTTTGGACATATCGCGAGACGGTACAATGGCTGTCACAGGTATAACATATTGTAATAAGTTTAGGGCTCCAACTCTTTTGCGCACGTTAGGGTTTATCAAGCGTCAATATTAGGGATTTAAAGATATTCGATGTCTAAAAAATTAATATATTGTTCTCTGATACGTTAGAATCTAGAGTATGGGTCCATAATATGGAATCCATCTCAACTTGGTCATATAATAGCCGTTTATTTATAACATCTAATGTATCTAATATTATTTTTCCCAAAATATTCAAGAAGAAGTAAGTTTGTATTCTTTTTATTCCTTTTATGAGTCGTTCCCACTCACAATATTATAATTTGAATGAACCAACAAATCTTATGCTTCGGGTTTGTAATAGTTTGGATGATTTTAATCACTTTAACGTGGATAGAGTGACTCAAAGCGTTGGTGTTTATGTTACAATTTTGAATACAATAAAGGGTTTAAGATATTATCTTCATATTCAAAAAAATTGTTAATTTTATTTTATAAAATAATAGATGTTATATTATTTATTCTCAATTTAAATTATTATTATAAGCAACTCTATTGCCCTTTAATCGTCAATAAACAAATTAATTAAATAAATAAATAATATTAAGTGCGATTTTAGTAAATTTTTTGGGCAACATACTTTAAACCCTGATAATAACGGAAAATTCAATTTTCCATGCTCGGGGAGGGGGAAACGGTTCCCCATGGAAAATTGAATTTTCCGGGCGAACCGTTGCCGTACAAATTTCGGAAACGGTCGTACAAATTCATGCAAATCACGTGCTAAATATTGGCGTAGAAAAGTTTGAAAAATCAAAAATGGGTGTGGCTGGAGAAATGTACGTCTGATAATACCTTTCACTATAAAATTAAATTGTAAAATCGGCTTACTTACAATCGTGTCTCATCCACACAGGTGGTCTGGATAGTCTGGTTAACGTCTGGCATCTGAACGTGGAGAGCTTAGAAAATGTCTATCAACTGAACAACAATGAGCTGCACTCCACCATGCACGGTCACACAGCTGCTATAACATGTCTAGCCATAGCTTCCAACGGACTTTTTGCCGTCTCCGGTTCAGAGGACAAACTTGTGTTGGTCTGGGGCCTAACGGTGGGCAATGCCGTTTTCACGTTCAGCGTAAGTACACCTTAAAATATGAGGTTGGGTTTAATATAAGGCCTATATTATATAGGTACCTAATGTACTTGGCGATGTTTGTAGCAATATCTCAGTCGATATTCACGTCTTTGAATTTTCGTTTCTCATATAAATGACTGTTGTTTGAACAACTTATAGGGCCACCAGTCAGCCATCACCGCCGTGGAGGTGACCTCAGACAGTGAGAAGGTCGTGTCCAGTGACAAGGCGGGCGTCATAGCGGTCTGGCTATCAGACAATGGGACGCTACTCAACTCGGTGATATGCCCGGCGACCAATTTGTCAGTGACCAACAACATGAAATACCTAGTCAGCGGTGACGGCCATTTTTCGTAAGTCAAAACTCAATAGATATTGTTTCTCTCGAATCTGGAAAACTAAACAGAATTTAAAACTATCGGAATCATAACTGAATCATTACTACTGATGCCAAAATTGGAACCGAAATGTTGATACTGAGGAGTTTTTGACTATTATAACAGGTTATTTTTGATTTTAGGAAACCATATTACGTTAAAAAAAATGTTTTCTCTGCAGTCAATTCCCGACTATTCTTATTAATATTATTTAATGACAATTTTTACGATTTCAATATTTAAATCACTTGCAATACATTTCAGAATTATGTTTTATTTTACTAATCAACTGTATATAGGTATATAGGTATACTAATAAATAAATTTTTTAAATAAATTATAGTAAATTAGGTATTTGCTTTAGAAAAATTGTACAAAATTAAATTTGCATTCACATGTACCCAATTTAATTTATTTTTCAACTCTTAATAAAGTCGATTCAGAAATCTTAATCTTTTCATTATTGCGAATTAAAACCTATCAAGTCATTAATATTCAAGTCACGTTACCGCTGCAGTATATATTACACGATGGTTTTGCACAGGTTACACATCTGGCCATTGGCCGTCAAGAACGAGGGAGGCCCTTGGACGGAAAAATGGCCGGTCAGTCATACGGAAGAAATAACGTGTTTCGTGATAACATACGACTCGTTGCAAATAATCACCGGGTCCAAAGACATGTCGTTGAAAGTGTGGCAAATCAATGGCGGTAAGCTGTCACAGGTACGTGTACTACCGAGATTGATATCAATATACCATCTACTAACCAGCCCCTCACTGGGTGTCCGACTCCACCACTGCGGGCATAGGAATAGGTTTTTTGTCTGGTGAAGTATAGGGAAAATGTAGGTAATTAAAGTCCATTTTCTGATCGTCAACCTGTCTTGTCCAATTATAACAATCGAATTAATCGTCATTTAAAAATCAAAAGTTAATAAATGTTTTGCCAACAAAAATAAATGTTTTAAATTATATAAAAAAGTATAAACACTTTGATTAGATTTCATCAAAACCATTCATCCCCCACCCGTCTACCCACTCACCACCCTCTTATAATGACATATAATACATAATCTTGTCCGCACTCCATAGGTATTGGTCGGACACGAAGACCAAGTGACGTGTGTGGCCGTGGCCATCAGTGACAAGTCGATCGTTGTGTCCGGTTCATGGGACGCCAACCTCATAATATGGGACATACACACTGGCGATGACAGACACCTTCTGACCGGTCATCTAGGCCACGTGACTTGTGTCAAGCTGAGCGGTGACGGTTCGGTAGCCCTGTCTGGGTCTGACGACAAGCGCATAATCGTGTGGGACACGAAACGCGGCGTCCCGCTCACGTCGTTGCAACTGCACCTCCCCATTCTGGGCCTGTCTATGTCCACGGACGTGACCCGGGTCGCGGTACATCTGTATGAGAGCCAGTACTTGCCCATCACACAGCTGATGAACACTCCCGCGCAGTACGTTAAGGTGCCGGTGTTCATCAACCGAGGTATGAACACTATATTGTAGTAATAAATAAATGGGACGATCCGTTTTAATTAGCCACACTGGTATTATATTTTGTCAATTTTTAAATTTTTTGAGAAAAATAATGGTTTTTGCACAGCGAGAATCGCACTATCAACCGGTAATTGGTATCAATATACCAGTGACCGTATCAAAAACAGTTGGAAACACTTTAAAATATTGGAGATATAAAACTCTTGTTTCAATATTTTAAAAATTTTAAATGAGCACTAAAGGCGTGTTTCCGTGTAATAGCATTTAAAAATCAAAAGTTTAATTATTTGTAAAATAAAATGTGGGGCATTTTATGGTCCTCATAAGCCTCTACCTCACAGTATTCTATCACGCTACTATGACGCTCTACAGTACAAAATTGTTTTGATTGTTGTATAGTATACATACTAGTATAATACTACATAGGTTCACGATGTTTCTCTGCCATAGAGAAAAACGTCAATAAAATATTAGATAGGTAAAAATAAAACAAGGTCGCCTCCGTCATTTTAGACGCATCGATTGATGCACATAATAACTTATATTAAGCGTGTGTCAGGCTGAACATCCAAAACATTATGAACACTGTAATTATTTAACTCAATAAAACTGAAAACTCTCGATAAATAATAATATAATAAACTCGGCACTCGCCTTGAATGGCCCCAGTAGCCCGTGTATAGGTGCATGCGTGTCGTTTTATTACATTTTAAAACGAGACAAAAAAGTCACTCTTGATTTACCGAGATTTATACAAAAACGCAATGACGTACAACTATTATAACAACCTAAAACGAATACATTATAATATTGTATTACAGCTTAAAAGCGAATTAAATTTAAGACATTTTTATTTTATTATAATTGTATTCTCGGATCGTTTTAATGGCTGTCCCGTGTTTAATAACAAAGTGATTTTTTCCGCCGTGAAATTACATCACGTTCGAGTACACAATGAAATTTGTGCATACAAAACCACGTTTGAGTACACACTGCATATAACCGTCCAATTATATTATGGTACTACGTTTCATTTTTTTTCTTTCCCCCGCGATAACCTATCTTTTGAACTTTGTCATATCATTTTAAATGGCTCTGCACTCTACACTCGTAGTACACAGGTATTTCGAGACATTTTTTTCCCGTTCGCGCCACACTACTATAGCTCAGTAAATTTCCTTACAAACAATCCATCGATATTATTTGTATGCGTATAATACTGCTCGAGGACTAGAACCAAACCAAAATCCGTAATATTAAAACCAGAACATTTTCAAAATTGATAAACATATCTGAAAAATAGCTGTTTCAATCCTCCCCCACAAATGAAACAATTTAATAAAATTGTATTTTTAATAACCATAGAAATCGAAACTTGTATTTTTAGATAAAAGGTTTTTGGGTTATTATACAAGTTTTCAGTTTTTAATAAATCTTATTTAAAAACTAAGGAAATTAGTTTCTTCTGTAGGTATAGATTTCAAGTGTACCTACCATCGCCCATCAACCAGTAAAAGTCATTGTAATATTGTAACTACCCAATTATTATTTTTATTAGATTTGAATTCAATGATAAATCCATTTTGGATAAAAAAAAAAACGATTCTGACACTCGTCACAATAAAATCATAATTTGAATGATTCCAATATAATAATAACCAAGAATAAAGCAGTAAATACAGATGAAATAGAAATATAGACGTATAATTTTACTGTACGATCAGAATGAATACAAATATTTTGACATAGGTGTTGTAACTTGTAAGTTATAATACAATGATTGTATAAGCGATGTATCAGTAGAGAAATACATTTTGTTAATTTTAAAATGTTGTACTCGTGAGCATCAAATTCTACTAAGTATTAAACAAATTAAAATTGAAACACCTTAAATGTATAATTCAACGAACGGAAACCTATAAAATAATTGTTGTTCCAGTTCCAGCAGGTACAATATTATGAAAAGACCTGCTACCTATAGGCTATACGTACTAATATTATTTTAATCACACTTATAATAGTTATGATAATGTATTTATGTTTTTGTCATGCCAATATCGTAGAACACAGATCGCTAGCCGCTAAGAAGCCCATGAGGAGGATGTTGATCAAAGAATACTCGTTGGACTCGTACACGTGGCAACGAAAGTACGCGCACTTGACCTCGTCGATAACACGGGCAGCCGTCGACGAAAAGCTCCGCCGGTTTTCCGTTTCAGCCAGCATGGAAGAAATATCGAAACAGGCCAATAATAACGAGAACATGGGATCACAGGTACGTACACACATAAAAAAAACATACGCGAGTTCAGTATATTCTACTATGTACGTACACTTTTGGTCTTTGGATGTTTTCAACGAGAGATTTACCTACCAAACCACTCGTGCTTACAGAATCTGGGTCCCGAGCAAGCCGCTTTGGCGCAATCGCAACACTTTGACCAATTGATCGCCGAATGGAACAACAAACGGTCGCCTTCCAAATCAACGAGCCGACCGAACGTGGTAAGTGCCTGCCAACATCTTACGTAATTTAAACGAAAGGTATAGGTTCCAGTGACTGGTATATAATATATTCAACAAGTAAAGAAGAGAATATTATTACAATTTTATAAAACGATTTTCCAACGGAACCATTACAGAGGTTTAGATAACTTTTCTAATAGTGATGCGGTGCGATCATAATATTGTATTACGTCACGTAATTTACGTGATTATCGTTATTATTATGTGCCTATGGGTACTCGAATAAAAAACTAAAAAAGAATAAGTGAAAATCGCCTTTTTTCAGATAGCAAAATAAATTTCTAATTTCTGTATTCACTGTAATGTGGCTTTTTCACTATCTAAATATCATCATCATCAATACATACTATAAAATGAAGTCGCTTATTTTTGCTCGGGATAAGCTTCGAAATGACTTGACCAATTTGGCTAATTCTTTTTTTGTTGTGTTCGTAATTGTCAGTGCATGGTTTATATGAAGGAACATTTTGGGAAAATACCCCGTAAAAGTAGGAAATGTGGATGGCAAAAATACAATAGTGACTCCATATTTACTGAAAAATATAAACTAAACAATAATATATTTTTATTTTTATAAGGTAACTCGGTTACAAAAAATAAAATAGTTGTTATGAATATGATAGAATATAATTTATACGACCGATACCTATTTTACATTTGGGTGACCGCAATGTATTGTCCTAATTGATATGCTGTCGCACATTTTCCGCGATCCGACGTAGTCCGATAGTCGGATTGCTTACCAGGATAGCTGAGTGGCACTTACTGCGGCAAGCTACACCCAAAAGGAGTTGAATAATCACACATTTTTTAAGGTATCATTATTTACGGGTAATGAAGTACCTACGCGAGTTCAGCTAGAAGTTTTATAAAATAAGAAATAATCAAAGAAAAATTATTACTTTTTTGGTGATACAGAATAAAAGCTATGACACAAAACGTGGCATATTCTACAAGACAGAGTAATATAATAGTCAAAAATAGTAGAAATGCATTTATGCATCTATTGGTGCCCACGCACCATCCTAACTACACGTACAAGAGTTATGATTTACCGTGATATTGTGGTAATTTTGTTTCGTTATGTTATCATCGGAAAATGTGTGATCTCAAAAAATCAAGCTCGCCGCCATCATTTGTGGTTGTGTAATGGTGATAATATCCTAGATTCTTAGATGTAATGTTGTAATATGTATTTCATTACCGGACATTTTAATATAAGAAAACTATTGTAGATCACCGAAGGTGATTCCTGTATTTTTACTGAGCAGTCCAAATAATAGGGACTACATAAATATCTATAATAATAAATATAAATATTAAAAAGTGAGTGTTTTCAATTTGGACCTCTCAAAAATAACTAGATTCACCTTTCTACCGGAAAAGATGCTGGTATTGAAATCGGAGCATTTTTATTATACGTACCTACCCCAAATGTTGATGACAGACAAAAAAACATGCACACACACAATAATTACTGTAACTATAATCTATATTATAATACATTCATCTCTACGCTCAGTATCAAAGGTGGGCATTAACTTGTTAAAAAGTTAAAGTTAAGTTAAAAAGTTAATTTTTTTTTAACTTTTTAACTTAACTAGTTAATTATTTTTGTTTTTAACTTATTAACTTATTCAGTTAAAATGTTTATTGTTGTAACTTAACTTTTTACAGTTAATTATCATTGTCATGCAGTTAAGTTAATTTAATTTTTGAGTTATGCGTAATCAACTAGGCAATACCGATTGGTCGACTTTTTTACGATTTTAGTAATTTATTTTCGAATTATGTATTATAATAATTTAATTTTTTACACAGTGTTAAATATCTTGGTAAATGTTTTTGTATAACAAAATACTATGGTAGTATATGACTTAAAAATATTGTACCTTCAAAAAATTAACTTTTTTTTAACTGAGATAAGTTAATTTTATTTTCTCTCTTAACTTTTAACTTATCTAGTTAAATTTTTTTTCCTTGTTAACTTTTAACTTAACTGAAGGCAATTTAAATGAATTAACTTAACTTTCCAAAGTTAATTATTTTCATTAACTTGCCCACCATTGCTCAGTATCGACTATTATTATACAAAGTTAAGACAAAGATTATTATTTATTACCATAGAAAATCATATAGCGTTGAAACGGCCAAACGTATAGGGCGATAATATTTCTGTTCCCCGTACCTATACCATCTGTTAAGAAGTTTTACTTCAGTATTAATGTACATTAGGATGGGGCTTATAGACTTAGAAACTACTCAACCAATTGGTCCCAAATTTCACACTCACATTCCTATTGAGACTATTGGGGAGTTTTTATAGCAAGCAGCTTTGTTTTTAAGCCCATATTATAGATTTCTATAACATAAGTTTACTATAGTGTAGATCACTCATGAAAATCGAATATTTTTTCTTTACATTTATATGGTTACGATTGGATACAAACGAAAAATTGGTAAAGATATTTTAACCACCACACTTCGATCCAGGTTATTTTTTTTAGATTCTGAGAGGAGAGAGGCATAGCTTTATTGGTTTTACAATGGTGCTTATTTTATTTATTATCTATTTTATTCTGTATACATTTCTACCAGAAGGAGTGCTTCAATTTCAACATATTATAGTATCTTATCTTTTATCAAACTGGATCAAAACGGTACTTTAGGGAGGTCAATTTTTTGATTTTCTCAATAGTTATTTAATGACACGGGAAAAAACCACCGACAAATTACGAAAAACCGTTAAAAACGGGATTTTAATTTCTAACGCTTTGTTTATCACCATAGAAACGAATAAAAAATAATAATATTAATTAACTTACATAATATGGCTATAATAATATAAAATATTCAGACTGACAAACGGTCTCTGCTCAGAATCGTTTTTCTTATACAATGGTATTATATCATTGAATTCAAGTTTAAATAGTTTAGTACAATCCATTAGATATTGACCCACTTTTAACCTACTGTACAGCAGAGCGACATCCACTCATTCGCTTTTTTTTAATGTATTGTTTGCTATTCAATTGTGTATTTGTATACCTACATCTGCATAGGTAGACTTATAGTCTCAAAAACTATTGAACCGATTTAGACAAAAATGTTGGATTTTTCTTAGAGATATCAGAAAAATATAGATAGTAGTTTGAACCACGTTAAAAAATATACCCACTTCTATATTCAGTCCATTTTTATCGAATTAGTTCACAAAGTGTACACCGATGCCGATTTACCTGTAAACTGAGATAGGTAGGTACACCATAAAACCAAGATCTACCGATATAATACATATTTAGAGCTGTATTTTATGATTGTCTTTTTTTCCCGGGCGAAGTCGGATACAGATAGTATTATATTATTAATGCTATTGTCATCAATCATGTATTTATGACATAAATACATTATTATACATTCAAATCATAGTATAAGAAACAAAAACATACAATTTTATTTTGCATAAAATGCGTGGGTACTTAAATAATATTTCAGCACTTATTACGGAGTACAAAATTCCTGACGATGATGATAGACATAATTTCATGTATCTCTAATGATTGAAAAGTTATTATGTTAGAATTAGTTTTTTTTAACTAATTGTTTACCTAATCTCAATTATTTGGTTGTATGAGTGTATCATGAATTATGAATAATATAATAATAATATGTTATTAGCTATCACAAGAGAGTAAAATTGACTACATATGTTAGAAACCTTTCAATTTAAAATTGCCAATTCTTAATGGGTTGCTTACACTTACGTCATGTTTTATTTAACTATAGGAATATAGAAAAATTATTTCATACCTAGTGAAATAAACATTTTAGTTGAACTTAATGATAGGTATAACCATGTATAACAAAATAACTCGTTGATATATCCAATAATAATAATTGTAAAACACGTTACACTGTGTTACTGTTGTTAACTTAATCTTAAAAATATTTATAAATGACTAAAGTCCACTCTAATTGTTATGGCATTGGTTATGATCTGCTTCTAAATTGTATACACGTAGATGGTAGTTGAATATTATAATAATTAAATTGTATATACTTCAATACTTGCCTAATAAATTATAGTAACACCCTAGTGAACAATTATTATTTCTTCCTAGCCCACCGATAAAGCCTTTGCAACATAATATACAGCAAGTTAGCGATACTGCGATAGTAATAACTAATAGGTATTGTTATTGTTTATTATCAATTGTACATAATAGCAAAATTACTGGTACCACAAAATAATAATAGACGTAGGTTAAATGCAGCTACCTACCTACTGCAGTTGTATATAATTTGCCAGCATAAGTTTCAAGTTTACTCCCCCGCAAGAGTATATTATTAAAATAATACAACACTAAGGAAAACGCGTACGAAACCTTTTGACCTTTTCATTTCGTACAATAGTACAGGGTTATACTCTTATGCGCTTGTTTTCCCATCGGTCATATTATAGGTACATTTATGTCAGTATAGGATAGTAATAATTATTTCTTTTCTATTTTACACCACAACAGGAAAACTACATACCTACCTACAAAAGTTGTGTTACATTTTTCGAGACTTTTAAATCTATTTTAATATCAAATTTTTCTAATGATGTTCTTTTGCGTTGAACTCGACAAGTTAATAGCATAATAATAATTATAATAGGTATATTTGCACACTTTTTTTGTTTTATCAAATTTTCTAATAATTTGAACATTTTAAAATTATTGACAGCTTAAACCCTTAGATGTTTTTTTGGACCTGCAATATTACACAGCTATCTTGAATGAGGATCTAATGACTTATCAATATAACATGGCGATAACCATCAGAATATCATAGCCGTATAAGTATCTAGTATTTTTTGAGAAGCGTAGAGGGTTTTTGAACTCATAAAAGTAAGTTCACTCCCCAAAATGACTACGTCGTTTACGTAGAAATATATCAATACAATATCATATTATGTAATAATTATATAGACGCGTCTCAAATTCGTACAAAAAATATTGTTTATCAATAAATTATAATAATATTATGAAAAATCTAGATTTTTGTTATTATTTGAAATTCAAGGGTAATAAACGGTGACACAAACAGAGAAGCTATAATATAATATCATGCATTCGAGCACGTTATTTATTATTCGATGACTTAAAGAATTTAAAAATTCTTTAAACTTTGGAAATTATTTAGTTTGACATTTTTTCGCATGCATGTTTAAAATAATCATACACATAAATATAATATATAATACACAGGATGAGCATAAACAATTTTTCAAACTCAACAACCTACATTTTTTTCAGTTTTTATCGAAACAGAATTCGAGATCGAGCAGACAGCATTCGGCCGACGAAGAGAGTCATGGCAGCGACGGTCAGTATAGCTTACCCCGTATATTATAATCTCTACTAACAGATATTATTTTACATACCTATTAATATAATAATATACAAGCTCTATAAAAAAAATAATATGTAAGGTGAAGTGGTGTAACTGCGACGGAATTTTGAATAGTTCAACTTGATCTGTCAATTTCTCCTGAAATAATTAACTTAAAAATATGATGATTATTGCAATGTACTGATATGGAAGTGGTCTATCTAAGCACACTGTCAACATTATGTGAAATATCTTAAAAACATTTTTACGATTGAAAAAAAAAAAAAAAAAATGTCGCACTTGCCCCTTGACAATATAGATTATATATATTATGTAAAGCCATATCGGATGATTTACTATAGGCATGCTCAAGAGTCAAGGCTCTACATATGTTTTCTGGTATCCCGTCATTTCGTCGTGGTAATTTCGTCGCGCGTCAATTCGTCGCGGTCATTTGGTCGCACGACCTTCGCGAACGTCGTCAAGTAAGGTGTGCCTACCGTCCGTCATCGCCGTCGATGTTTCACCGGAACTCAATTTTATTTTATTTTGATAGTCAAATCTTGTTTTGTTTTTCTTGATACAAAAATCGTGCTGGTATTAAACCATTAAAACCGTTTTAAAAGAGACGGTAAGATGTAATAAATTCAAAGAGCGTCCATACTCTATTAGTCTTGAAGTTTACAAGACACTTGCTCGTCTGGCACGTGTAATATTCGAACAAATATCCATTTAAAATACATGATTATAGTGTTCGTTATACCTACACAATACACGGTGGGTACTAAATTGGTAATCCATATCGGAAGTTTTTCTTTTGTTCCCTAAACACTGAGCAAAGCTTCGGACATGAATTTACCTACCTGACTAAATAATGTACCTACCCTACTTATGACTTAGCAGGTAAACACTAAACAGTTAGGTAGGTACCTACAATACACCTATTTATAATTATTATATTGGAAGAGGTAATAGGTATTAGGTTCTAAAAAGGACCTTTGGCCCTAAAGTAGGTAGGTACCTACCTATATATATTATTTTATTATATGGCTCTAATATTCTGATACCTACCGGCTACCTCAATAAGATAGGTTGGTATAACATATTATAGATATAACTAAAAGCTTCGCTAGTTTAAAAATTAGAGTGAATTGACTATTGAACTGTTATAAGATTTCAAGCTAAGATTATTATCCAGGGTCTTTTATAGGCTACTTATTATATTTTAATTTTAAAGCAAGTATTTTAAGATGTACAAACAATTTACAATTTTAAAATACTCATTACCTACTAGCTTTAAAATTAAAATATAATAAAAATCCTATGAGATAGGTAATCTAGATAATAATCTTACCATTTTAATTTAAACTAACGGGTATAGCTAAACGTAAAATGTGTTATGCACATTAATAAACCAACAAGGAGACAACAAATGTGCGTGTAACGTCCCCTGAAGGGACTGGCCAAAAAGTTCGAGTTATCCATGTATAATACAATAGGTACCTAATATTAAATTCTAGGCACCGGGAAGAAGTACGAAATATCGATGATTTAGAGTTAACCAAGTTTCACTGTATTGTAATTCCACTAATATTGAATATTCAGAGAGCTAAAAAGTAATCAATGTTAGTAGTATTCAACTAATGCATTAAATATTAATTACATATTATTTATAAAAATAGTGAATACCTACCAATCTAATACACAAATACCTACCTTGAAGGCTTGAAATAAAAATTAGTATGATGATAATTGCTGATTTTTGATTTGTTTCAGATTTCATATGATGAATCGACGTTTATCGCTGCACGTACGCCGATCACGCCCTAGACAAATCCTACTTCATTCACCATTGTTGCAACCTAATTGTGATCAAACATTCAATCATTCTTCTTATTATTAGTAATATTAATGTTTAAAGTTACGGAAACATAATCTTAAGTCTGTGCAATAATTATATACCTTATTATTTAAGTAAATAGCATGGTATAGCTATTGTTAAACATTTTTATCCTAGTCATTTGAAGACCGTAGTCTAGCCTAAGATTACTAGATTAAGTAAAATATTTTGAGCACAAAAAATATCACCATCTGAGTGATTTGGTTTTTTTATTATTATTATTATTCTTATATTGCATAAAAATCATACGTTTATATCTTAGACTTTCTGATTGTAAATCATTAATTATAATGGAATCATGGAACAAATCAGATTTACTATACACTAAGTAACTAAGTATTAAGCTCTTGTAGAAATCAAAATATTATATTACGGTCAACCAAACAAATCATTTTATAATGTATGTTAACCAATTAATTCTAAGGTGACAACGTCAACCAATTTCCGGACAACTCAATCCTACGAGAAAAATAATGGCATATCAGTTCCAGCCAGGGTTATGTGTTTGTTACAATAACTTTACTGTTTATTGGATCATGTCTGCCAGAATTAATATTTGGGTATCTTGGTTAACATACATTCCAACTTTTATCAAGATAATTAATCACTACATCATTTATATTTTAACAATATTTTAGTCTTAAGAGGATGTCAGGATGTATTTGTTTTATCTCTGACCCACCCTCAACATAGCAAATTGGTGTTCTACAGAACCAATCTTGTATTGTTACCATGAATATTAAAGTGAATTTACTTAATACCAAACTTTAAATTATGAACATTGGCTGTGTTTGTACGTTTATTTGGTAGGCTTTTTTTTACCACACTTGAATTTTTATAAAAGTTATAAACATGTAAAATATTACAGTTTTTAGTTTAAAAATACTGTTGCAGACAAATTAAAATATAAAAACTCAATATACAAATACAGATAATGTTCTTAACTTTAAGTATGATAAAAGGTAAATTCACTCTAATATTAAAACTAATAATACAAGATTGGTTTTATGGAATATAGTGCATTGACATACTCTTAATAATATTTCTATGGTAGCTATTTATAATTTATTTAAATGTTGAAACTTTTAAAACATCTGTTTTTTGTTTTATGTTGTGTATTGTATATTAGTCTACTCTTATTATTATTGTTTTGAATTATAAGTGAACAGGATAAAAGAATAAACTTCAAATGTACACAAATTGTATTTCTTTAATATTATTAATATAACTACTAAAACCTCTATATGTATTATTTACAATATTAATTAACATTTAACATCATTCTATCTTTGGAACGGCATGTAATCTAAACCAGTGTTGAATTGTACTTTCTTCCTTGCTTCTTTTTCACGTTTACGCTTTCCAATTGCAATCATCTCTTTAACCTCAGACCTAAAAAATAACATAAGTTAGTTCAAACAGTATACATTTTTTTTTATCTGATAGCATAATTTATTTAGCTTACCTGTATGCTGGTGGTTTGAGCTCTTCATGGAGTGTGCAAGCTGGTTGAGGTATATTTTCGGGAACTTTGAATATTGTACGTTTGATTATGTCAATGTCTCTTGATAAATAGTTATTGAATGGATCCAAAGCTGAACTGGGTACATCAAACTCAACAATAAAATAGCTAGCTTGTTTGTGTATTGCATCATGTGAACTTATCTTCCAAGGGGTATCTGCTGTTCCTAGGTTGTCAATACGCCGTATAAAACCACCGGTTTCAAAGATTTTACTGGCTGTTCGTTTTAGACATTGTGTTATTTCAGGCTGAAAATAATAAAAATATTTTTTTAGTATAGTGCTAATATAGAACAGATTTGTCAAAAATAACAGTTATTACAATTTTACATATGTTTGTAAATGTAATATAACATTCTAATGTATAGAATATCATTATATATTATATATTAACTATTAGGTATATGCATCTAAAATCAATATTAATATTATAAAACAGCTACCAATATATTATATGATTTGAAAGATTTGAAATTTTGCATAAGTTGAATTGATAATTATTATGATACATTGAAACATTTTTCTAATAAAACAATAAATTGTATCATATCAATACATTAGGTAGGTACTAATGACCAATGGGTAAAAGGTAGTATGTAACAATAGCTAGTTTTTGACATGTGTGTTTTAATTAGGTACAACATTTTTGTATAAATAGTTACAAGTGCATTGTCTTGAAATAAATTATTTTTTTTAAAAAGTTTACCTATTATAAACAGATAAAGCAAATAATTAAGTACACAAGTACTTTTTTTTTTTTATTATGATTTCATTTAGTTGTTATATCAGAACAATAATCTCACTTTTTACCCAACAAATAAAATTGTATTGATATTTATAGAAAAAAAAAACTAAAAAAATTGGTAAGTGAAAATGTCCCTAAACAGCTCAAAATAAGTCAAAATATTTTAAAAAAGGCACGGTGTATAGAAAATACTAATATAAATATTCAGTAAAAATTGCATGTATCTGCGGTCATTTGTTTTGGAGTTACACCAAAACAAAAATCGATTTAGCAAAAAAATTTTCTTTTGTTTTTCATGGCGCTTTTGAAAACTATATTCTTTTTCCTATCAGAAAAGATACTGTTGAAGAAAATCTAAGCATTTTTACTGTCCTAAAAGGTGATGACGGACACAAAAATTAAAAAACTAAAAAAAAACACACATAATTTGTAAAATCAATACATTCATCGTTTCACTCAGAATCTAAAATGTATGTACATTCGTTGCACAAATATTTTATTTATGTATTTAAAAATTAAGGTTCAATACGTTTTAATTTACATAATTAAATATAGATAAATAGTTTTAAATTTTATATTAAGTTAATATCTATACATTCTAGACGGAGCCGAGAATTTATTGGTCTTAAATTTATATTTTATGTATAATATGTAAATGTTCCTTTTTTTATTGATAATAACAATGCTTTCATAAAGCTTCTCCATGGATGGCTTTTATTAAATAATTTATCATTGTGTGAGTATTAAAGATAAATAATAATAATAATATAACATATATTAATTGTCCTAAGATACACACTATAATATCCATCATAACACTGAATGTCTTTGAATGGTTTGAAACCGTTTTATAGGGAAACGAAAAAAAAGTAATAGTAAAAAAAAATAGTTATAATCATAGGCGTGCGCAGACTTAAATTTCTGGTCGAGCCTAGACAAATTATAGTGCAAATTATATTTGGATAGTGCCCCAATTTTTTTAACACACCAACATACATGTTGATGCATCAACCTATTAATGTCTATAGTAGATACTATTGTTATTGTATTTGCATAAAGGTATAATGTTTTTTTTTAGATTAATAAAATGTATGTTGTGTTTAGGTTAGGTAGGTACTAGGTACACACAAATATTTTTGATTTTTTTATACTTTCACGACAAACAAAATTTTCACGATCTCTACAAACATATTATTATAATATAAGCATTAAAATAAAATATTTTAATATACACACACATTTTACTATGCCCCTAAAAAGTTTCAGGTCGAGCCTGGGCTTGACCGGCTCGCCCCGTGCGCACGCCTATGGTAATAATACTATAATTTGATTGTTGACAGGACCAAAACTACATAACAACACAAAAGATAATAATTTTCTAAAGATTAACTATAAATATATTGATTATAAGAAAGAAGTGTGAAATGAAAAATGTTTTTGACACGCAACTTTGCCCTTATTGTTATTAAGTAGGTAACTGTATGACCTGAATTCACCAGTATGAACTATGAATGTAATCCTGCTATTAGCTTTCAGCCTAAAGTAATAAGATTATAAGACATCAAATTGTATGTGTATCATTCTGTGAAATATGATACAATATTAATAATACATTTTAAAAATAATACAATACTACACGCATAAATTAATCTTTAAGAAAGAGAAACTTAAAGTCAAAGTTAACTGGTTAAGTGGCATTTTATACAATTGTATAACAAACGGTTGATTGTAAGTTACAAAATGTAAAAATATTTTAGCTTGAATTGGAAATAAACATTAATGGACTCTTTAGGGACTTATATCTTTCTGTTGTTATTAGAAATAATAAATTAGACTCTGTAGGTAAAGCAAGAGAACACGCTGCAGCCTGACAAAAATCTGTTTTTCTGAGCATTTTCACCATTGTGGAATCGGTCTTAAAAGGCAGGATGTTACATGGAAATGTGCAGAATCGGCATGTTCTTTAGCTTGACGACAGAGTATAGGTATGCATTGTTCATTTAATTTTAATACAATTACAATTGTAAAATGTTCCATGTTTCTTCATTCACCCATTTGACATTCATTCTAGACCAGGGGTGGCGAACCTTTTTTGGGACAAGTGCCAAATTTTTCAAATCAAGGTTTGGAAAAAGGAAATTATATTTTTTTTACGTGTCAATTATGTATGGCTGTTATCCTATATATCCTATTATAACCAAAATGTTTTCTATATATTATATATAGCATAATTGGTTATAATTTTAATTTTTCGCGTGCCATTGAAATTTGACCAAAGTGGTAGGTTTGCCACCCCTGTTCTAGATTAATACAGTTATAAAGTACCTATTACAATATTTGGATCTTTTTTTCTTTCATGTGTAGTCATATTTATCACATCATAATATACCTATTTATTGCAAATAGTTGATTTACAGATTGTACTACCTATATACAAAAAATAATTATAAAATAAATTAAAAATAAATAAAAATTTAGGTTACTTTTTTCTTAGGGCCCTAGGTAATAACTATTAAATAAAATAAATGTAGTACCTATATTAACAAATAATAAATATTTAAAAACTTTTAAATTCATTTTTATCTTAGAAAACCATTGAACTAAACTTCAAAAATGTATATTTTGTGTGTATTAATTACTAATTTAATTTTTAAATAAACAAGATTATTCACTGATTAGTGATTACCGAGTATTAAAAAAAACAATGTTTATAATACATACCTATTGATTTTAAAGGGGTTCATAATTTATGCTGTTATACACCGAGCTTAGACAAAGTATTATGAACAGTTAAAATTATGACTTCAAAATCAACAACACATTTTTAAGCTCAACCAATCGAAAATCACCATGTTATATTGTTGTAGCAATAATATTATAATGATAAATGACGAATTGCATGTATAGAATAAGGTTAGTATTCCTGGTGAGCCTACCATCATTTCTAAGTTTTCCACCGATATCTATTATTTAGTTTGACAGTAGATAGTCTAGAACAAGGATGTGAAACTGGCAGGAACCCTTTTTTATCTATCTCGCGCTTCTTTTTCAAATTATTTCATAACAATTTATCGTATATGTATATCTGTATTTATACAATTACATTGTTCATAGAATTATGAGTTCCAAATAAATTTTTTAGTGAAAGCTATACTTTGGATTATTTATATTGATACAAAATTAAAGAAGATATTAAATAAAATAATATTACTTAAAGGCAATACCTACATTTTAAAAAATCTAAGGTTTATAGAGAATACCTCCTATTCAACGTATTTCAGATTATAGGTACAATTTTTAGTTAATTTTCATATAAATGTACAATATTTTAAGGATTAATGAAACAGGAACAAAAAATCTTCATTACTGAACGATAGATTTATATTATATTATATTATATTATTATAATAAAATGATCAGTCCATGTTCTGAACATAAAATCAAAATAATAATAATTTGGGCTATTGATAAAATTATTAAATAGCATAGGTAGCATATTATGTACTAAACATGAATGGCAGACTTAGAGGCTAGATCATTATTCAATAGTTTCAATCAGTACTACTATTTTTTTTTCGACAATACAATTACACATGGTTAAACAAATATATTATATATTTATAATAATATTATTACCCTCGGCAAGACTTTGAACAGCAGACATAACTCATAACTGGGCATTATTATGAGTACGATTCGACAGCGTGCAACGAAATGTAAAAGAAAAACAGTTTTTCGGCGTACCTATCGCTTCCGCTTCTATCATGTGAACTGTGAATAGATGATAATTGATAATAATATAATATTCAATTTTTTAAATAATATATCGTTATCGTTTTTGCATAGCTTATCATTATTTTTTTATCGCACTAAGTGTGATAAGTGATAACACACCAAATAACCGATTATCTTGCCTACCTTGCGTAAATTGCTTCCAGGGAGAAGAAAATGTAAACGAGGTAAAAGAGTAAAATAAAATATAATAAATAAAGCGATTTTTTTTAGAAAATCTGCTGTTGTAGGTAAAATGTTTGAAAACGCTGACACGAGAAATGAGAACGGAAAATCGCCTTTAGACAAAATGACGGTGGAAATTCCGCCGGGCATGTCTGTCGACACGAATATAACAGTTACGTACAACTAACAAGCATTATTATTTAATTACGTATGTGCACTACGTATTATGTACAGTCGTGACGACAATACGTCGGTCGGGCACGTTGTAATTTGTAATAACAAACAAAAATAAATAATAATACGTAAGCATTACGCATTACAATAGTTGAAACCGTTGTACACGACCGTATTGTGAACGTTACAGCAATTTTGGTAACCACTGGCCTACCAATTGTTTTCGTTCGGTTGAGGAATTCATGTGTGTATAGTGCGTGCGTGCGTCTCTGCGTTTGTGTGTGCGTGTGTGTGCTCGTAAATAAAACAATTTTCTCGCGATAATTAAAACATTCCACTGGACTACAATATTACTGGAGGCGAATATTGGAAAAAGAAGAAAAAAATTGAATACCTATATAGTCACACTATAGCCGTTAAAATAATAATATTTTATTCGCTTATTTTTTCTACTAAGCTCTTCTTGGTTTTCGGTTTCCCTTCGACGGCAATATACAGCAGTGTGCACTGTGCAGCTGCAGTGGTGGTCACTGGTCAGTCGTGGTCGTCACCGCCGCCCAACAACGGTCGCAGTCCCACTGCGAAGATATTAAGTGTAAAATATTAATATCATCATCATCATCGTCATTCATCGTCTTCACTCGTCGGCTGTGAACAGACGTGCACGCTCTACGCTCGGTGTCCGCGTACCGTCCGATAACGAGATAGGGTAGGTAGGCGGTGACTCGTCAACGAGTGTACGTGTGTGTGTATGTGCCGCGTTCGAGTGCGTAAAAATATAAATATACATTTAAAAAAAAAAAAAAACGGATTTCCAAAAATAGGTAGGTAGTCGGATCTCTCCGTGGCCCGTGCAACAGTGCCGACCCCCGTCTCGTCCACCCGCCCCGCTTACAGCCCGACGGATGTCCGGGTGCTGGACGCTATGAAAGAACTCAACCGGTCGGCGTCCACCAAAAAGAACAGTTCGAATGGTATGATCAGAAAGGTGTCGTCGCTGTTCAGCCTGGACGCTCAGATGAACGGCAACGCCAAGCCCGAATGGATCGTCGATGAGATCGCCTTGGAAAGAGGTGACTCGGGACTGGGCTTCAGCATAGCAGGTACGTTTTTGAGTTTTTCTTTTGCTAACATTAGGTAGGCAGTAGGTTCCTAGGTAATATCCAGTTTTGATGAATAACGATAGAGTCCCAATGAATAACGACGATATCTATGCGGAATGCTGCTGCCACCAAGCGGCTACTCATGAAAAAATAACAGATTTGTTTATACTATGATTTTTTTTTCATGCGTCCAGGCGGAACAGACAATCCACAGACCGATGACGATACGTCCATATTTATAACAAAAATAATTCCTGGTGGAACAGCCTACCGAGACGGTCGGTTATGTGTCAACGATATCATAACCAAAGTCAATGATACGCCAGTTGTTGGCGTGCCACATTCGACCGCAGTGGATGCACTCAAACGAGCAGGACACACAGTTACATTATGTGTAAAACGCAAGAAAAACATATTGCCTCTAGGGCCAAATGTCTTAGAAATAGAACTCAGCAAAGGCACCAAGGTAACTTCATAATTTTTATCTTCTTGTAGTTAGTAAAACAATTTTTCTTTTTCAATATAATTATGTAGGTAGGTACTCTAATGAGAATATATTTTTTCTTTATTAGTTAGTATTATTTAAATTTGACATATTTTTTAACATTTAATCTGTCTGATGACAAATAGGTAATTCTAAGAAAACATATACTCAAAAAGCAGCTATTTTTGTGTGCATTTCTCTATATGATATCAAACATTTAGTTAAACTTTATTCTGCTGATAATAATTTTACTTATCATTCAAATTATTTATGGGTTGTTCCAAAATAACACCCTTCTGTAACCATAACAACTGCTACATTGAACAAATAACAAAATTGTGTCCCAATAAAAGAAATGTAAAAATTGATTATTTTTAAATATTCGTCTCTACCTATATTTTTCTAGTTTATTTTGCTCCATTCAACCACTGTCCACTATTGATTAATCTAGTTTCATACTTTCATCATATTTTTTAAATTTATCAAATATATGTTGGCTAATCTGCCATTTGACCTGCATTGAATACCTATCTGGTACTGTTTAGTACTTTAAGTTTAATTTTAATTGTTACTAATAAGGTACTTGGCCTTGGCATGTGTTGCTTTTTACCAAGTTAATTTGCATGGCTTCATTTAAAATTTTTAATTTGTACGTGGTAACATAAAATAGTAAAGATTATATGTTCTAGGGACTGGGATTCAGTATTGCTGGTGGGATTGGCAATCAACACATACCTGGTGATAACGGGATTTTTGTTACTAAAATAATGGATGGAGGTGCTGCTCAAGTAGATGGTCGAATATTGGTTGGTGATAAACTAGTTGCAGTCAAGAACACTCTTCTTGGCGATCGTAATTTAGAAAATGTAACACATGAAGAAGCTGTATGGACATTAAAAAATACCCGTGAAAAAGTGTTATTGGTCATTGGTAAAACTGAACCAATCACATACACAGATTCTGCACCATCGCCGATCATTATTGACACCATTCCAAATTCATATTCTACAGACACATTAAATACTGTAAAAAGTTATGAAAGCTTACCAAACAATGATGTAAGAACAGTAGTGTTACATAAAGGTTCAGGGGGATTAGGATTTAACATTGTTGGTGGTGAAGACGGAGAAGGTATATTTATATCATTCATTCTTGCTGGTGGTCCAGCCGATCAAACTGGGCAATTAAAAAGAGGAGACACTATCCTAAAAGTAAATGAAGTTAGTTTGGATAATGCAACACATGAAGAAGCAGCTGATGCTCTTAAAAATGCTGGACAAACTGTTTTATTAACAGTTCAACATCGACCCAAAGATTACAACAGGTACCTATAAATTACTAAAAATGTAGTCTTATCATATATTTTTGAATTTTTATCTAATTTGTAATATTTATCTATTTTTAGGTTTGAAGCTAAAATTCATGAATTAAAATCTCAACTTGCTGCTTCTACTGGCACATTGATTCGCACTACTCAGAAAAAGACATTATATGTCCGTACCCTATTTGATTATGATCCATCTAGTGATGATGGCCTACCTAGTATTGGACTACCATTCAAATATGGTGCAATTCTTCATGTAACTAATGCAAGTGATGATGAATGGTGGCAGGCGCGAAAAGTCTTAGCTACTGGCCGAGAAGAAGGTATTGGCATTATACCATCCAAACGCCGATGGGAGCGTAAACAAAAAGCCCGTGATAGATCTGTAAAGTTTCGAGGAAATGAAAGCAAAAGTTTAGATAGGTTATCAACATTAGAAAGGAAAAAAAAATCAATGACTTTTAGTAGAAGATTCCCATGGGTGCGAAGAGGTAAAGATGGTAAATATGAAAATGGCCTTGACGATATGGTATTGCAGAGGCAATCTAGAGAAAATATATGTGAAAAGGTTGAAGAAACTCCTTCTTATGAAGCAGTGGTATGTATTATCAAAAATTATTAACTAATTTAAGGGTAAAAAATAATGTAATTTTCATTATTAATGTTAACTATTAAGAAGTGGTAAAATATGATTATAACTGAATGATACTTCAGTATCATATAAATGAGTGATACTTAGGGTTCAGAATTTGTAGAAGTTACGTATTTTTCTATATGCTCTCTGTTTAAAGCAAACCCATTTAGGATATTTATTATGAAAGAATATTATATACGACAAGTTAAAAATATGTAATTGCATAATTGGCATATCTACAAAGTTTAGAAAAAAAAATTGTATTTAATGTCTTCCATAGTTTATAACACAACTTCATAAATACTGCAAATATTTGTATATAAATACTATTTAGGTACCAATAATATTTTTTCAGTTCAAACATTGCCAACTTGTAACTAGTTTTCCACAGTTTTTCTTTTCCGTTTTTCATTTATTTAATAGAACAATTTTAATAAAATAATATACGGTATTGTTAATAAATTATTATTGAGAAAATATGTACCTATGCTTATATTTTTTATTAGAATTAAAAAAAAAAAAATTGCACAATAAAACTGCACATTTTAGATTGTTTTATGAATTGAATTGTTTTTCCCCTTATAACTCATTTCTAAATTAATAGATGTAAAAATTCAACAAGTACAATTAAAAAACTGATTTGAATATATTAAATAAACCCTATTGCTAGTTGTAAAGATCTATTAAATATTTAACTATCAGAGCACCGAGTTCAATGTGACTTGTAGAATATTAACTAAAAAAAAATAACAATAATAATCTTTAAATTGTGTTAATTCTACAAAGTAGGACATTATTCCTCTGAATTGTATCCAACAAAAATTATATTGGCAACAGGCCCCTTAACTTTTTGCTTTCAATTTACTGTTTAATAAATAGTTACTATGAAAAGTTACATAAATGTATAATATGTTATTATCGTTGATAATAATTACTAATTACTAATTAAATATTATCAATAATTACTAGACATTTACAATGAAGTCATTTTAAACTTTCACTGAAATATTAATATAAAATAGTCCACTTAAATGATAATTATTGTAATAGTTCAATTTAAATTTGTTATGATCTACTGACATCAATCATTGATTTTATCCCTAATTATTATACTTTTTACATAAAACTGAAATAAATAATGTAATCAATTAAAATATATATATTTTTTTTTTTTCTATTAATTATCTAAGGAAACTTAGTCCATTGGGTGGTTTTGACTGTGGGGAGGGTACTGTAGATTTTTGTAAACACGTGTGTTTTAGTTTGGCAGAATTTCAAATTGGGTAACTGTAGGTTTCTGCCATACGCGGTCGGGGTCTCTTACCAGACATATGTTTGCCCGGAAAAAAGTGCCGCTTGTGACCGAGATTCGAACCGGCAATGATAATATTAGGTACTAATATCCTATTTTATTTTACAGGTTCGGCTTCAAATTTCCTATGCACGACCTGTCATTATACTTGGTCCATTAAAGGATAAAATTAATGATGACCTAATTTCAGAATATCCAGAACGTTTTAGTTCCTGTGTTCCCCACACAACACGAGAAATAAGACCAGATGAAGTTGATGGTCGTGATTATCATTTTGTAAAATCTCGTGAACAAATGGACCTTGACATCCAAAATCATTTGTTCATTGAAGCTGGACAATTCAATGGCAACCTATACGGTACATCTGTTTCATCTGTTCGTCATGTAGCCGAATCTGGTAAACATTGTATACTCGATGTAAGCGGTAATGCCATTAAAAGACTTCAAGTTGCTGGATTGCATTCTATAGCAATATTCTTTAAGCCAAAGAGTGTAGAAGCATTAATGGAAATGTGCAAGCGTATGAGTGAAGCAGAAGCAAGAAAACATGTAGAACGAGCTGCTAAAATAGAACAAGAATTTGGTGATCAATTTACAGGTATAGTCCAAGGTGACACATATGAAGAAGTATATGATAATTTAAAAGCAATGATTGAAAGAAATTCGGGTAGACACATTTGGGTATCTTCTAAAGAGAAATTATAAACGATAAAACCAATTGTAATATTTTAGACAGATTTATAACAAAAGAAATAATTGACGCTTACTTGTTATCAGGGGTACAATTTTTATGTACTTTCATCAATTGTTTTTTGTTTGTCATTAATTGTTATGTTTCTATTATGTTAATGAATTTTATTGAACTCTGCATTTAATTGTGTAGAACGACTTAAGCATTCTAAAAATAATATTATGGTGGATGGGTGTAAAAAAACCTCTAGCTTAATTTGTCCGTATTTTTTTCTCTTTTGGCAACTATTTTAATTTATGATTGAAATGTAGTCTAGTCTCAATTCTGTACTTGTTACAATTTCTATTTGAAAATTAATTATTGTTGATATCTATCATTTTTTTTATCATTAACGCAAAAGCCGTGCCAAAGTTCCTTTAATCAAATTTAAGTTTAAATATATAGTAAAAACATATATATATATATATATTTTGTGCAATTAGAACTAAATCAAATTCCTGCTCAATGTCTCTTTTCTTATTAAGTATAAACATCTTTTTTTCATGTTTTAACATTTATTTTCCTTATCAATTGTATTATTTTCAAACTTAATTTTGTTACGTTAATCACGTGTCTAACATGTAGTAGTGCCTTTGTAGTTATTATTTATTTGAATATTTAAATTATTAATATTAACTAATGAATTATTAACAAATTAATTTATTGTATGTTAACTATATGTATATGTGCTTTATAACAGAATGCACCTCAACATGAAACTTGTTGAAACAAATATAACTTTATGTATAATGTATTATTATTATTATTATTATTATTATTATTATTATTATCAATATTATTATTATTATTATTATTATTATTATTATTATTATTATTTTTATTTTTTTCTCAATGTTGTACTTATTTTAAGCAATCAAATAACTATATTTTTATTATTGTAATCTTGCATTTTCAAATATATATTTTTATGTATTTCATGAACTAATCTCATTTAAAAAAAATATTTATATTGTATTATTGTTTTTTTATTGTGAAACAGAAACAAAATATTATTTTGTTAAATGATGTATTAAACAGTATTTCAAAATATTTTAGTTTATTTTTAATACATATAGGACAAGTTAATAATTTAAAGCTTTTCCCTTTTATGCTGTTATTTTTAATTAATTACCCGGATTTTTCTTATATAAAGTACAATAACTCTATCCCTGTGAAATATATTTGTGAATTTATTATTGAATAATTCCTTCATTGTGTTTGTGAAGTGTTGTAATCTCATGTGTTCAATAATGTTATAACTAAATAGTATTATTTAAATGACTTCACATCCTCCATAAAAAAATTTAAATACAATTTAATTATTATTATTATTTTTTTTTTTTTTATGATAATGGATTAATAATTTTGGTGCTTCAGTGTTACTCTCAATTTTTCAAATAGAATTACAATACATATTATATTGTACTAAATTTGTATTTGTGTAAATTATGCATAGCAATAAATAATAATCAATAATATTACTGATTACATCTGAAATTGGTAGTGCATAGCCAAATATTGTTATTCCCAATCATTGTCCCAATATTGTATAGTATTGTGATTTTATTTTATTTATTTATATGTATTATTGAATTAAAAAAAATACACTAAAATACACTTGCAATCAATGCTGTAGTAAAATTTACAATTTATCTATGTACATAATATATAATAGAAAAGTAATAAATATTTAATTTTTTAGTAAACAATGTTTTTATCCTTGTACATTTTTAACGATTATTAGTTATTGAGTAATCTACAAAATACCCAAAAATGCCGATGCTCATTGCTCACCAATACATAATTGTTTAAAAAATATTTTGTTGTCTTTAAATCACGAGGTCATGGGTTCTAATTTTGTTAAATTCCCTGACCCTGATTAAAAACTGTTTATTCCAAACGTTTGATAAAAAATGCCAGCCTAACTTGAAATTGATTGTTAATTCTATATTTCTATAGACTTCTGATATCCAAATTGTTTTCATAGTGGTCTGTTTTAAAACTTATCAAACATACCGTGTTTCGTGAAACATAAGTTTCTTTTTTTTGATCTTTACAATCTGACATAGATAATATTATAATTTATTTATTTCACCAATCTCTGTTTTTCAATATTTTATTCTCAAGCTTTACAATATGTCTAAAAAAAGACAAGATAAAAATCATTTTTTACAAATGATTTAATACAATTATTTGATATAGAATACAAAATCAGAGATCTATGTGGGCTGTAGGAAGTCTTCTTAATTCAGATAAAAAAAAATTACCAAAATCCGAAAAATTAAAATTCTTCAAAGCCTGAGAGTTATTCCCGTGAAGTCATTTTTGTCGATGTAATACAACCCCCCCCCCTCCAACCTCTAAATAGGTATCAGGTAGTAGATTAGTGGAAAAATATTGTAAATTATAATTGAGGTGGCAACTTAAATATAAAATTTTATTGAATTTCGGTACCTAAATTTGAAAAAACTAATATTTTAGTTCCGAACTAGAAATGTATAAAATAATACAAACGCCGTCGTCGTTTCTTCAGTCCCCGGTCGTAGAATAATTATAATTAATACCTAACCTATATAGGGTACTTGAAATAGACATGGGTAATACATGTTTTGGTTAATTTATAGAAATACCTACATGTTATTACGGATAACTCATAAGATGTAATTTGAATTTATAAATTTTTTTTCCAAATCCAAATCCAACGTACTAAGTTATAGTATTAACTATTAATTTAGTGTAACATAATTGTTCACCTAATATCTATAATATCATCGGGATTAGGGTCTTATAACCTGTACTAAGTACTTACACCTAAAAAAAATGTTGATGGAATAGTCAACTGCCTACCTATCCTGACGTGTGGCGTGTGCGCACTAGCCACGAGTTAAGATATATCTTAATATCTTAATTCGTGGTACTAGCGCATGTATGAATAATATAGGTACTTATTTACTCGAATTATAGGCTTGAAGCACACGTGCGGTTTTTAAACGCGCGGTGTCGCTGCGGTAGGTAGGTACCGCGGCCGTATATGCACACGTGAGCGTTTTTTGTACTAGAAACCGCTCTCCAGTATTTCGCCAACACTCGTCAGTTCCGTATTCGCGTAGTAAAAATGGAGGTATACAGGAAAAAAAAAATATTTTTGAGTAGGTACCTTGTGTATAAAAAGTATATCTTAAAAAAAAACGACGATATTGGGTACACCCGTTCACTGATAGTCGACTCACTTGCGGAATATTTTATACATCTTTTAATAATCTTCGAGAAAATGATGAAAAATTCTTTAATTATTTTCGAATGAGCGTGAAATCGTTTGACGAGTTAGCTGTAAAAATTTCTACAAAAATTAAGTCTCAAGATACATCCATGAGATTGACCATACCACCACTTGAAATGCTCGTTGTTACTTTGAGGTACCTAAGTGATTTGTTTATATATTTTTTTATGTTAAATAGGTAGGTAGCTTTATTTATTCTATTTACTATTTTATTTATTATATATTTTATTGTAAATGTATTCAAATATAAAACAATGTAATAATAATTGACAAGTAGAAATGAAATGAATTAATTACATACAATATAGATTATTAATATTAATTTATAATTATAAACGAAATATTAGGTACTTCAAATGATTTTATTAATCTCCAAAAAGGTCTATGCTATCTTCTTCACTGTAAAACTGGTTGTCTATAGATGCTGAAGTTGAGGATGTTGGAGATATTGTAGGAACCCCAGTGCTGGTTGTTTGAGACAGTTGAGTAGAAAGAGGTGTTCGAAATTGTGTAATTGGTGTGGGGCATTGATTTGGCTGAGGGGGACGATTAAGCTCGATGTAACTGGAATATGGATACGTATTCTGACCATATCCATGTGCGGGTTTGTAATGTGGGTTGTTTGGTGGATATCCATATTGCTGTACAGCTTGTTGATTCCTCATACGCTTAATAATGTTCAGTATTTCGCAACGAAACTCCAGCTTCTGGTCTTCTGTGAAACTACTTATAGACGGAAGTAAACTTTCAAAAAGAGATCTATCTGGGTTGATCTCTGGAACAATTGGTGGAGTTGTAGGAATTGGAGTATTCAAAAATTCTACCAAGGAAGACTAAGTCATTTTTACGTTTCTTTGTAGAATTCTGTTTATAGCGAGGAGGGCATTCTGATCCATCTAAATCTAAGCTACTGTAATGTGACTCTTGATGGTCCGCTGAATATTGCTGGTCCAATAGTGCTTCATGATCTAAGCTAGACTGAGTATTGGTTGTGGCACCAGCAGTTTGTAAGAATGACAACTGTTGTGTATAAATGTACCGTCTCCCAGTATTAGCAGCTTGTCCCGATTTACATTTTTTTTTCTCACTTTTGGCATAGTGATCTTTAATGTTCTTCCACTTTTTAATGAATTTAGTGCATGAAATAACCAATAAAAACATGTATATATAAAAGTAATTAGGTATTGAAAATTGTATTAATCTATAATAAATAATAATATTTAATTGATATTTTATAAGTATTAACCTTTTTATGAATATTCAAAGATTGTCAATTTGTTTTTTTATTTATTGTTTAGGTACTTAGGTAGTGGAAGTGATCAAATCGATCTACGCTTAACGTACAGACTTGGACACACAACGATAGGAAAAATATTAAGAAAAGTTTGCAATGCTCTTTGAGATTGTTTACGAGAAGAGTCTTTTCCAGAATTTACTGAAAATCGTTGGAGAGAAATTGCAGAGGGTTTTGAAAAATACTGCCAGTTTCCTAATTGTTTAGGTGCCATAGATGGGAAATTTAGATTTATCAATACTTTTAGTGAAGACATGCTGTGCTCACCATAGTTTTGTTAGGGCTAGGGATGGGTTTAAACTAGTAGATACTATGTAGGTATATAGAAGGATCCATTGGACAACAAGACTTTCAAGAACACCCAAGACCCTCTAGAGCACCTAATCAGTTTATTCAAGCGA